CCCTAATGTAAACCCTAATGTAAACCCTAATGTAAACCCTAATGTAAACCCTAATGTAAACCCTAATGTAAACCCTAATGTAAACCCTAATGTAACCATCGGCTTGACCCGATGGCCCCCCCTAAAGAAGGGCCAGTGACCAACTGAGGCTATTTCAGCGCGAATGTCTCCTCCAGTCATTATCTCAATACCACCATCCAGAAGATCAAGAAAAGGGTCTCACTCGGTTAATCTTATTTGGCCTAGGCCTGGCGATAAAGGGTTGTTTCACAGTGCTTCAACCGTAGCCTCCAATGAGAGACTGACCGAGGCAGATACTGATGAAAAGATACTCGGCAGGTGAAGGTTATAAAGGTAGGTGTCTGGCAAACAGCTGTGCCTGGCTTCCAACCCTCAGTCTTCCACGCGAATCTCTTCTTTCAAGTTGTTGTCATGGTGTCTATCATTAGTCAAGCACGCCTGGTTGTGCCACTCGTGTTAGCACTTCCATGGATGCTTGTGGCGGGATCCGCCATTCCCCCAATGCCCGAGGGAGCGCTTTCACCCGAACGTCTCCAATGGCTTAGGGACGTGATTGGCAACCGGACCGAGAACGGGACCATCTCGGATGTCGCTAAACGGAGCACTGTCTTGAGTAACAGCAAAGACGGCGTCGACAGCGCGGGATTTTACTACTCATTGTACAATGCCAACGGAGCCGAAGTCGGGTACACCGAATACCCCACGACCGGTCAGTTTGAACTTGGCTGGAATGCTAAGGCAGAGTTCCTTGGAGGGAAGGGCTATAGGGGCGGCAGCCCGCGGTAAGTGCCACTTTTCTTTTCCAGGCTCTCTCTCGTTCCTTTATCTTTCCCAGCTGGCAGTTTCGAAGTAAGGCTGACCGTGATTTGACTCGTCATCTAGATCCTTGACCTGGGCCGGTTATTTCACCGCCGAGGGGGACTGGACTTTGGCCATCTATGGCTGGACCCTCAACCCCGTCACCGAGTGGTATATTGTGGAGTCGCATGGCAGTGGAACCCCAGGCAACGGGCACATCCTAGGTCAGGTATATAGTGATGGCGGCGTCTACGATGTCTACAATTTACCCTACCGCAATGTCCCAGAGATCTATGGGGTGACCAATTTTGACCAGCACTGGTCGGTGCGTCGGTCCCACCGCCCCATCGGCACCGTCGATGTGAGCGCCCATTTCCAGCGCTGGAAGGAATTAGGTCTCAGCCCCGGCACCCCAGTCTTCCAGATGGTCACCCTGGAAGGCTTTTCTGGGAAAGGGTACCTGGATTTTACCGTCAGGTAGACGAAATCCGAGGTTACGGACCACAGTAGTCAGCGGGCACGCAGTAGAAGCCAGATTCCATCTGTGCATTCAGACGCAGGAGGCCCTTTTCCTTTCTGGTCCTTCATTCTCTAGTGGCTAGTTCTCTGTTTATTTCTCGCCTTTATTCCTGTTAACAGTTGGTCTGTAAAATTTGAAGAGATTCCTCTTTCTCTAAACTGTCTATCAACACCGACAGCATCTTCATCAACTTCATCTATCGAGGGTGAAATTTCGAATGCAAATGTAGACGGTCAAGAACGTCACGCTTTGCTTGCCTCTCCGGCTCAGATACCCTGATCCTGTGGTCTAAGATATCATGAAACACATACATAAGCCGGGAGCAGACTCTCTCTGCGGAGCGCGCAGAATGTGCCATAGGAGCAAGCGCCACTGCGATCTGATGTCGTATCATCCAACCTCTCCATAGTGTTGACCCCCTGACAAAACTGCGTTTACTGGTAGAGTCCTATAACAGCTAGCCCAACTGCTGACCCCAATCCTCAGGAATTGAAGGTCATTGTGAATCGCTGAGCGAGCCATTCCATGTGCCCCAGCTGATCGTGATCATGTGACTTGATCATTGTCTGCTAGAATTCCGGCAAGTCTTCTCAGAACCCTTCTTTCCCATATAAGGAAGAAAGGAATAAAGGACATTGTTTATGCATGCGGGGACCCTGGAACTTCCGCGCTATCTAAGAAACTCCCCATGCCGCCACAAAGCTGCTTTGTCTCCGGCTCTGGAACGAGCAGATGACAAGAGAGTATATAATCAAGGTTGACTCTTATCAGTGACTTCGATCACCACGGTGTGCAGTCCCGATATGAAATTCGTAAGTAGCAAAGCTACCTCTCTTCGTCCTAGCAGCAGCAATGCCGAATCACCGATTTGGCATCCTTGAATTTGCACCGGGGCGTCAATTTATCCAGGTGCACGGGTCGAAGGACAAGGACTTTGAGGCAGGCCAGGAACGGTTGCAGGCAATCTTCCAGCTGCTCCGAGGGGTTTATCCTGACGCTCCGCTTTTTCATGGGATCGTCTCACGTGGAACCGAGACCTTCCCCATGGTGCGCTGTTACCGCGAAGCTGGCCCCGGGGACGAGCCTGAGAACATTGTAACCGGAATGTATGCCTTCAAGTTCAAGCCCCTAGGCTACACCAAGAAAACACCTTTACTGCACCTGTTGGTGCCTTGTGAGCATGGTAAGTACGAACAATGGAAGAAGAAAAGTGTGCCCGTGTCCAGGGTCCGGCTGCAGCCGAGTAATATTCCTGATTCTCACATCACCCTGGGCTCTGCTGCGGACGCAAATTGTGTGGTGATGTAAGTGATGTTCTTCAGCCTGCAGTATATAATCACCATCTACGCTATGTGCCACGGTATCTTGTTTAATATCATCAAAGCGCAGTTATATCACTGCGCAGTTTAATCACTGGTTACTGAGAAACAAGCGCCTTTACGGGGTTTAGCCTCGTACAATCATCATTTAGCATTGTGCCCTAAATCAAAACTTTTCATATTCTTTTCTCCTGGCGACCGTTGCGAGCCAGTTCCCCAGTCCCCCTTACCCATATTGAATCTTCAAGAACATAAACCACTTTTATGACGAGGTTCGCTCTCGCATAGTAGGCCCTTTTTCTTCGAGACCCGAACTCAACGTTCATTTTGGTGGCAGTCCCATTGCGTGGGGCAATGCGAGGACAACCTCAGAGGCGTCGACAAAGACCTGCCCGTCCTCACCGTCAGACCGAGTGCTGTCTCCGGTAAGCTCGTCGTCGGATGCTCTTTGGTGGCTTGCTAACGATTTTCTGGCCTGATACCGAATTGTTTGCCATTGGTCTGTTCTTCCCAGTACTTGGAATTTCCATCATTGGATTCCTCGTCGTTGGATTCCTTGCCCTTGGACTTCTTGCCATTGGTTTTGTTATCAGAATCATCCTTATTGGATTCCTTGTCGTTCGATTGCTTGCCTTTGAATTGTTTGCCTTTGGACTGATTATCAGAGTCCTCGTCATCGGATTCCTCGTCGTTCGATTGCTTGTCATTGGACTTCTTGCCATTGGATTTGCTATCAGAATCCTCCTCATTGAAATCCTCGTCATCAGATTGCTTGCCATTGGACTTCTTGCCGTTGGATTGTTTGCCATCTGACTGCGCGTTCTCGGAGTTGTTTTCTGATTCATCCTCATCAGTCTCCTCATCATCATTTTTGCTGCTGGATTGTTTGCGGTTCGACTGCTTGCCGCTGGACTTGGTATTGGTGTCGCTGTCCTTGGAATCCTCGCCATTGGACTCTTCACCGGCGGAAGTTTGGCTCTTAGAACCCTTGCCATTGGTCTGCTTGCGATCAGATTGCTTGTCGTTTGATTCATCGCTGTCGGTCACAAGCTCACCGTCTGCTTGATCGCCATGGGAGCTGTCGCCGAATTGCTCATTGTTGGTTTCGTCGCCATCGTTTTGCCGGGTAATCCGTTGCCTCCCGTTTCTGACAAACCTGTCAAGGGATCGCCTGCTGATCGGTTGGTGGCCATCTTCATTATCAGTGGATTGCTCGCTCTTCGATTGCTTGGCCCCTGACTGCTTGCCGTCGGTTTGCTTGCCACTCGATTCCTTCTCGCTGGAGCCCTTGTCTTCCGAGTCCTTGTCACCAGTGTCCTTGTCACCAGTGTCCTTGTCATCAGTGTCCTTGTCATCGTATTCCTTTTCATCGTAATCCTTTTCATCGTAGTCCTTTTCATCGTAGTCCTTGTCATGAGAATTCTTGCCATCGGACTTCTTGTCGCTTCCTGAATCCTTGATTGGTGGGTTGCAAAGAATAGGACATCCAGCCCCAATGCACCTTTTTTCCCCTGGGCCCGCCGCACCCCCTGCCAGGATGACCACCTCGCCGCAAGGGGGCGCTGCAGCAACGCTTTCAGGCACCGGAATTTTGGGGGGGAGAACTATGCCCATAACGCCTAGGGCCAAGGCCATTATAAGAAGGACAGGAATGCGAGGAGAGGACTGAAATCGTGCCATGGTGGAGAAAGTTTTGGAATCGCCGGTGCCTCGGGGGTCGATCGAGAAAATAGCGATGATTGCAGTGCTGCAAAGAAGAACGTCTTAGAGAAGAAGCAGATAGGCTACAGGTAGCTTGCTTTTTAACCTTCAACATTGAGGGGGAAAGCTGCCCGATGATCTACCATATCGGACGTAGGAAATGGCTTCCTGAGAGATGGAATCTCTTACCGACTTCCTATGAATGACGCCATTGTATGAAGCCGAAGCAAATCTTTCCCCTCCCTCAGCACAATCCATTGTTCCTTTCCGTTTGTTAGGCCCGGTACCATTAGCCGGCTCAACTAGTTTTACTACCAAAAATCCCGGTGTCAACTATGCTAATCAAGCGAGATGGTCAGTTGCGGAAGTGTTTAGGAAATGCCTTCGTGATTTGGAACATACGACATCTACCACATAGTGGCATCATTTTCAGGGAGAGGGTCGGCAAGCAATTCAATCATCCCACACGGCCAGAGGATGACCCGAAATGGACAGAGCTACTCGGCATCTTGTTTGTCACTTAGCAAGCTTTGGGGGCGGATGCTGCTTGATTGATCCAGCATCGGAGGTGCTGGGATGCGCATACAACTAGCTCACTCAGTCCTCAATCCCTGGCAGAATACAATCTATATAAGATGCCTGAATGGTGTGAAATAGAATCAATGCAGGTGGCTTGCTTTTTATCCATGACATGCATGATCCCCACCTCCGCCGTCAATAATCCTCGGAGGGTTTGTCCGCCTACGCACCGGGATGTGTTACCACTGTGACAGCACGATGACGCTCTCTACGGTGCAGCCACCAACGACCTCAGAAGACGAGTGAGTTGCCAAGTCCAGAATTCGCTTGGGCTCTGATTGGTAGCATTGGGGCTAGATCAAATCTATGCCAACGTCGCCGGGAGTGTTTGCCGCAGACACAGCGCCCACAACTTGAAGAAAGCAGCCAGAAGTCAAAGGCCGGCTTCATCACGGCCTGTAAATCCTCACGTTGATGCTTATGTGGGTTTGCTCGACTTGTGGGCGGCTAAGACGTGGGCGCTGCAATGCATAATAGTGCCGTACCTTCTTCAATCGAAGGTTTAGTGGAAGTCGCCTTGGTTTCTAGGATGACGTTCTAAATGTGTAGGTGGGGTTCAGACGCCATCTTGCCCGGAGTTTGAGGAAAGGAAACCGATATTCACTCTCACCCTGTGAAGGAACAGTTAGTTTGATACTTACTGATACTTACCAAGTGACTGAACTCAGATGAGTCAGATCCAGACCTCTGGGATTGATGCCTGATTCTACCTGCCGTGATAAGCAGGCCCCAGTCATACCGTACGTGACCCTAAACTGCACTGGTAGATAACATACAAGGTACAATACCGGACAGTACAATACATTACAATACAATACCTCGTATCTACCGGGTATCAATCGCGCTAGCCCGATGGAGTTAAACTTCTCTCCCGCCTCCGACCGTGAATCGAATTCCTTCATGATATCTTCTTACAGAGATATTGATCTTTGATTCAATGTCACGGATGTGGATGTCGGGCACATCTGCATCTGCATCGGGCTAGGTAGGTCCTATCAATATCAATGCCAGTCACCAAGCGCAGGCGAGCGAGAAAGGCATGCATTCCGTGCCATCAGCGCAAGCGAAAATGCGACACCGTGTATCCTTGTGGGATGTGCTCCACCCACGGCTACAACTGCACCTACACCGACACCTCCACCGACCACCGTCCTCTGCCGCCAGCCAAGGGCACAAATCTCGAGCGTGACAATGAAACACCCAACCGGGTTCAGATCGAGCCAGTCCCCTCGCCATCCCGCGGTCCCCTTCACGCCGTGGCTGGGGGCCCATCTCCTGGCATCTTTGACGAGCAAAAGTTTCGATACTCGGGGGCATCAGCGGCCATGGCATTCCCGCATATTCTGGGCGTGGCTCTGGGCTCCGAAAGCCCCCCCAAGATGCGGTCATTTGCTTATAACTTTGGCGTTCGCCCCGAAGAAGTATCCAACGCTCACTGCTTTCTGGGGGATCTCATCTCGGAGGAAGACCTTGGCTTCTTCTCGAGCATGTACTTCTCCGCACTGGGTCCCATCGGCGACGTGATTGACCCTACCACTTACACTCAGCGGTGCTGGGACTATTACCGTAGTTCTGGCAGCAATGCAGTCGCCTTTGCTGCTGTGGCCGCCGGCGTGGCGGCCCTCGGATCCTTCCTGTCCCCAAGAAGACACCCACGGGAGTCGGACCTGGTGCAATACGCCAAGGCTATTCTCGATGATCCCTCCTCCATGCGTCTGCATGGCATCGACCACATTGTTGCTTGGGGTATGCGAGTCTTTTATCTGCGAGCCACGACCCGGCCCAGTAATGCTTGGATCGCTTCGTGCACGCAGATGCATCTCTGCGAGGCCATCGGCCTGCATGAGGAAGTCACCATTAAGAAGATGGCCTCCATGGCTGGCGCCGCCGTCCTCGGTCATAGTGCCGACCGTCTGCGCAGAATCTTCTGGGTCTCGTGGGCTGGGCATAACATCCTGTCCTACGAGTACGATCTATCCTCGGTCGGATACCGGACCGTGACTTGCCAGCCCATCATCTCCGTGCCAGGGTCCGTGGCTGATCAGTTCGTACAACTCGCTCACATCATTCCTTCGCCCAACGCAGCCTTGACGTACAACACACAGCCGTCCAGTCCTACACAGGAGCTATATTACCGCCTCAAAGCCCTGAATGAGTTCAAAGTGACACAGCCGTTCCTGGTGGTGACGAAGGCGGATCTTGCATTTTGCTTTTACCGACGGCTCTACCAACTCAACACCCAGATACCGGACGAGATCATCAAACTCGTCATTGACAGCGGCAACGCCGCAGTGGAGGCAGCTAAGAAGCAAGCTGACCAAGGTCATCTGTTCTGGAACGCGATTGGCAGCGTCTTCCAATACTGCTGCATCCTGTTGGCCATTGACACCCCGGTAGCTTTCCCCCACATTGACGGTGCATTTAAGGGCTTGGAGCACCTTGTCAAGGCCGCCGATACCGGACTGACGCGGGAAGCGTTGTCCATGGCGCGGCACCTCCTCGGCCTGACCATGACCAAGAAGCGAAAGGAACTGGCTCAGCTGGAAGCCGTCGAGGCAGGTTATGAGTTTGGTCAGACACCGCCGACATGCCAGGTCAATCCCGCGATGCCAGACATGGGTTGGGAAATTGACTGGGATCAATTTTTCATTGAGCCATATTTGTCGATGCTCGGTCCTGACCTCCCTCTATGAAGACACCGATGAGGGCGAAGTGCATGCCTAATACCGACTCACCCGAGTCGCCCACAATTCTAGAATGTAAAATGATATCATACATTGCATATTCATAGAGAACTCAAATGTAGACCCCGGGCGAATCATTTATGAAAATGACCAGTTGGGTCGGCGGCGGGCTTAATTTGCGGCTATTGCGGAGTTGGCTTTCTTATCGCCGCACGAGCCAATCAGGAAGTGTTCATATACCCTGCGTGCGGCCCAGCGCGGGTTTTGTCGTTGGGCTGAGGCACGGCGAAGTACATAAATAGATGGAGATATTCCATGTATGCCCTGGAGAAAGAACTGACACTGTACCTTTCACGAACTTTGAACCTAACGAGCACCTCATTGAACAAGAACACCGACAAGCAACCGGTTCCCTGACCACCATGCCCAAGTACGCCAACGACCAGCCCGCCGGCTTCACCAACACCGTTGAAAGAGTCGCCATTGTTGGGGTAGGTAAACCCAAGAAACACATGCAGAGATACAGCACAACTGACCATGTTATTCAGGCTGGGGGTACGATTGGGTCGCACATTGCCAAGGCGCTTTTAGCCACCGGAAAACATACTGTCACAGCGATCTCCCGTAAGGACAGTGACAACAAGCTTCCCGAGGGTGTTCAAGTCGCCTCGATCAACTACGAGGATGAGGCCACCATTGTTGCAGCCTTCAAGGGCCAGCAATTTTTGATCATCACCATGGCCCCGACTGCTCCCAGAGACACTCACAGCAAGCTTGTGCGGGCGGCTGCCAAGGCGGGAATTCAATACGTAATGCCCAACGGATACGCCGGCGACATTGAAAATATCGAGTTTGGCAAAGACACATTGCTGGGGCCTGTCGCCGAAACCAACAGGGACGAGATTGAGAGCCTGGGCATGCAGTGGATCACAGTCTGCTGTGGATTCTGGTACGATTACAGCTTGGCGGGTGGAGAGGCGCGCTTTGGGTTCGACTTTGGCCACCGTTCCCTGACGGTCTATGGCGATGGTAACGTCAAGATCTCGACGTCAACATTATCGCAGGTGGGACGCGCCGTGGCCAAAGTGCTGAGCCTCAAGGAGCTTCCCCAGGATGAAAGCGACAAAACCCTTACTCTGTCCACTTTCTCAAACAAGGGCGTGTACATCAAAAGCTTTGCGGTCAGCCAAAACGAGATGTTTGACAGCGTAAAGCGTGTGACCTCCACCATCGATACGGATTGGAGAATTACTTACCAGGATACCAAGAAGCGGTACGAGGATGGTTTGATGCAGGTTAAACGGGGGAATATGGCGGGCTTTAGCAAGATGCTGTACGCTAGGGCTTTCTATCCACAGGATCCCGGTGATCTCTCGGCCAAGGTGCAGAATGAGCTGCTCGGATTGCCGGATGAGACGCTGGACGAGGCTACTAGGGTAGGAATCGACTTGGTCAAGGAGCTGCAGCTTCGAGTTGAGCGCATGGCAGCCTAGGGCAGAAGAAGAGTGGATGCTCTGAGATATGGGCTTCTGTATTGTAATTGATGTGTGTCTATCACTCGGAGGACCGCGATTGACGCGTGGCTTCCTTTGCGCGGGATTCCAGTTCTATATTCCGCCAATACCGGGTCCCGCCACGCTTGGTTTGCCAGGGTAACACGTCTTACCGTTGCTAAAATCGAAAGACATTTTCGGAAGAAGCTTGGTGTAAGGTTCCTAGTGTGAATCATCCTAACGGAATTGAAATTAAAGTTTGACAACATTGGGAAGCTAAAGAGTCTTTTCATGAAACAATGGTTCGTTCATTTAGTGATAGAGCCCCCTTGACTTGGGGTCAAATTCACATTTTTTTTATTTTCTTGTTTTTAACATTGATCCTTGGAAAGGAGGATGTAGAGAAATTCTACTTCCTCATCAGCATTTCAGTCTTCTGCCAACCAACCCTACATTGGGCTCGAGTGTGGCGGGAAGGTTAAGATTGCTCAAGACCTTACTTCTTGTCCTCGTCTTCCTTAGCTGGCGGTGGTGCCGGGCCTGCAGGCTGAGAGGTACCGGAAGTGTCGTAAGTTCCACGTCCCATTCTGACCAGGTTGAAAGGTAAGAGAGAGATAAGGTTGTGTTGCCGATGTTGAGACGGTGTCTAGTATGTGTTAGGTTTGCGTCTCTAGCTATTGAGGTTGAGATGTAGACTAAAGATGAGGAGATTTGCGGGCTTATATAGTTTGCATGCAGGGAACAAGGAAGGAAACAGGTTACAATGCCACACATGCTTTTGACCAAGTGAAGAAAGAAGTTCTGGTTCAGTACAATGAATACTTACCAGCAGTACCAGGACATAATTTGTACCAAGGGGATTGCGGCCTTTGTCGAATACGATAGTTCAAAGGATTCAACATGAACAACAGTGGGAACAAAGCATGAAGAACAGAGTCTATCCGATGCTCTTTGACCCAATATCATTCACAGCATTACAGAGAACTGCACACAAAAGCATAAAAAAAAGGGTCTGCAGGATATGGAGTCAAAAGCAGGGTATGCAATATTGACAATGCGGTCTACCTAATCCAAGGCCTAGCATCGATTGCTGTAGATGGCCGTGTCGAAAGGAAGAGAGAGGACAAAGGACATTGCACCGCCGACAATGAATGAAAAATATGTATGAGAGTATACCTATCGAACAGCCATATTTGTGGTAGTATGTCACATTAATCAGCCCCCACGAGTAAGCCTTACAAGTGGTCTTGCATAGTAATCAATGAGTAGTGCCAAAACAGGTGCCAAAGCAAGTGCTAAAAGTCCTGGCTTGGATATCAGCAATTGCATACGAGGAATCGCATTGATTTCCCCCCTCCCTGATTACTGTCTCATGTCCGGCGGTACTCACTGGCAGCCCTAAGAGTCATAACCCGAAACACCGCTATTTGGTACCGAGCCACCGCATGAGACAGGTGTGGAGCGATTAGGCATAGATCATGCCCCGACGAGCCACACCCGTGCCATTGCTGGCAAGATTGGCCTGGAAGAACTGGGTGAGCCTGGTGAAGGGGATGAGGTCGACGCGATCGTAGAGGTCAACATGGCCGGCACCCGGAATCCAAAGAAGCTCTTTCGGTTGAGCGGCTCGGGCATAAGCATCCTCGCTGAACTCCCGGGAGTGAGCCTGGTCGCCGGAGATGAACAAGAGGGGACGAGGAGAGATGGATTCGATGTCATTGAAAGGGTAGAAGTTCATGAACTTGAGATTGCTGGTCAAGGTCGGGTGAGTAGTGAGCTCCGGAGTCGAACCGGCCGGGGTGAATTCACCGCGAGAAGTCCGGTAAAAGTCGTAAAACTCCCGTGCGACGGCTGGAGTGTCAGCATTCAGCTCGTTGGGTGTACCGCTAGTGTATTCCGTCTGGCTTGGGTCCTCCAGCTCGGTCCAGCGATGTTGCGCGGCGTCGGCAATGATAGCCTGGCGCTGGGTGAGATTCTGGGAGTGCTGAAGACCATTCCGGTTGACGGAGCCCATGTCGTACATGCTCGCCGTCGCGATGGCTCGGATTCGCGGGTCAATCTTGGCTGCGCTGATGAGGAAACTACCACTGCCACAGACGCCCACTGCACCGATGCGCTGGCGATCAATCGAGACCAGGTCCTGAGTGCCAAGGTAGTCGACCGCGGCGCTGAATGCTTCAGCATACAGGTCAGGCGAGACAGCATTGCGCGGCTCCCCGGAGCTTCCTCCCCAGAACTGATGATCAAACGATAGGGTGACAAAGCCCTGCTCGGCGAGCTTGGTGGCATACAAGTTGGCGCTCTGCTCCTTCACCGCGCCCATCGGATGGCCGACGATAATGGCTGGTGCACCGCCCCCATTCTCAGTGAGGTTGTGGGGAACGAAGAGATTCCCAGCCACAGTCATCTGGTATTGGTTCTTGAAGCTAATGGGCCGGAGAGTAACGCTGTCACTCCGGTAGAAGTTGTCGGCAGCATAGGACATGTTCTGAGCGGTTGCTGGCATGGTATACAGCAAGGTTGGTAAAAGGCTCAGAGCAGCTGCAACTTTCATGGTGATTCCGTTAGCGTGAAGTTGAAGGTCGAAGAACGAGAAGATGAGTTGGTGTCTTTCAGGTAGGACAACAGACAGATTGACCAGCATACTTATGTATCTACAGTTCGTTGCTCTACGTCATTAGCCTCGATTAGAAGACGTGTGTCACCGGGTCTCTCATGCAAGTTGCTGACGTGTGGGGCGACACTCCTTCACGGAACCCTAACCATTCAGAGTCTCCAAAGCTTATAATTCGAGGTCAGCTGCGACCTTGGCAAGGGACCCAGTGTTCGACCCGAAACAGATAAAAAGCCTCTTTGCATGGTCATTGCCATTTCCTGTGCCTCCTTCTTTTAACACTTTTCCAACTCACGATAAGCCACGATCCACGTACGCGGCCTTCTCCACCATCCAAGCCTTCATTAGATATGGCTCCTTACGTTCATACCGGGCCGGTCAACTGCGACCAGGACTTTGACACCAGCAATCTGAGGGACAAGCTGTCCGTTGTCACAGGAGGTACTTCGTCCAAAACCCTTTCCTGCTCCCGACCATGTCTGAACTCAGTAACGAACAGGGGCTAGTGGGCTGGGTGAAGCTTACGTGCGAGCGCTGGTTGCTGCAGGGTGGGAACAAGCCTGGAATTCTTTCACATCATCCCGAGTCAAGCAGCTAACCCGCGTACACCAGGGCCTACGTGTGCTTCGCCGACATTGACCCGAAGAAGGGCAAACAGCTGGAGCAAGAGCTCGCCCGGTAGGCTGGGTCCATCATTTTGGATCAATGATTGTCTGTCACTGACTAGGAATGTCTTTCAGGACCAAGTTTGTTGCCTGCGACGCTAGTCGTTGGGCAGATCAGGTGCAACTATTCCGAGAGGCAGTGGCCTGGTCCCCGAGCGGCCGCATTCACTACGTGGTGGCAAATGCCGGGATTCATCGCCCGGACGAGGTCTTCTTACAAGCCCCTCTTGCCCAGGAACCATCCGAGCCGGATCTGAGTATTATCGACGTAAACATCAAGGGCCCCTTGTACACGGCCAAGTTGGCTGCGCACTACTTCATCCGTCAGAATGGCACCACACCCAACCGTGAGCAGGAGGATACCTGCCTGATTCTGATCGGGTCAGGAGCAGCCTTCCTGGACTGTCCCCGGGGACCGCAATACAGCGCGAGTAAGTGGGGAATGCGAGGAATCATGCATTCGCTGCGGCGGACCACGTACTACTACAGATCGCGCGTCAACGTGATTTCTCCTTGGTAGGTTGCAGAAGCATGCATGCTGGACATGGCGTCATAGCTTGTGCTAAAATATGGCGCTAGGTACGTTCGAACCAATATCCTATCGGACGAGGCGTTCGCCCACGTTTCCAATGTCGGAGTGCAATTCGCCACTACTGAAGATGCCGGGCAGTGTCTGTTGCGGGTGCTCAGTGACCCCACCGTCAACGGTCATTCGTTCTTCGTCACGGCGAGGAAGTGGGCAGCGAGGGGCTTCATGGACCTGGATTTGGAGGATTACCCGGGAAATGCGCTGCTTGGGGAGATCCAGACCGAGCAGATGCTGAGTGCGCCGGTGTCGGCGGGCTTGTTTGTGTAGATAGGAGTCTGTCCAGGGTCTTTGGGGAGCAATGAAGACGTATAGTTCACCATGAATACATTAATCATTCGTTTCTTGGATCCCTTGGGAATGGCGATCCGTGGGGGGATGTCAGCATGTTTCATGATTACCATGGTAGACAGCCGATAAAAAGGAAGAAAAGGAGTCCAAGTGGGGCTCTTGGCGTAAGCAAGCTGCATTAGCGCCGTACCTTATCTCCAACCGAGATTCCACCGGATGCTGACCTGGGCTGCAGCCATGGGCCATGGTACTAGGGCACTGCCTCTTAATGCCCTCAATGCCTAGATATTAGCATTGCTTGGCCGGCGGGACTGGAACCTTCTAGCTTGGATCATAATTAGACACTCTCTAGGCTATGCTCGTCATATTTGACCTGTAATCGATACGCTATTGCTCGGGGTAGGAAAGATACAGGACACCTTAAAGGAGGCTGTGCTTCTCTTTGCACTGGCCTTTGAATGCCTGTGCTTGGCGGCGTCATGACTTAGTGAGACGGCTCACGGTATCCGAAGTAAAACCCGAGAACATCGGCATTGATTAGCATCAACCACATCGTTTGTGTACAAAGAATACTGTTGCCTAAGCACTTTGATTCACATTGCCATGACTGTAAAGCAAGTGGCGTTCCTGAGCAGAGTTCCGCCGTCACCGAGCCATTCGGTGATATAGTTCTGATATCAGGCCCGATGCTTAAAAAGGGGGCTTAGAGATGTGCGAAAGTCAGAGCATCAATCCATTTTCAAAGAATCATGTTCCATCGCCTGGTTGTCTCTTTGCTGTACGCTGTATTGCTTATCCATCCGGCCATAGGTAAGTGAATCGTCTCAAACTTGCGTCGCTCTAAGCCGGCTAACCTGACTAGCCCACTCAACCCACGCTCCCAGAGCAGAACGTGCAGCCCGAGTAAAAGAGATTCACCTTCAGACTCCCTCGGAGGATGCTCGGGTTGCAGAACAATTGAACCTTACATTCGTCATTGACCAACATGATGTCAGGGTCCGGCTGCAGCTGGAGGCCAATCGTGCCATCATCTGGAAAGATGCCCACATTCATTATCTCGATAGCAGTGGAAAGCTTAAAGAGGTTGAGTCCTTTGCCGATCACCAGGGAAGAGTCTTCTATGGCGATGCCTGGGTATCTTCCACGAACAGCTCGTGGCATCCAGCTGGCCGAGCCCGTGTGTATCTGATCCGTGATGGAGATAATCCGTTGTTCGAGGGGACTGTATATCTGCTTAGTCGGTACTATGAGCTCAAAGCCGTCACCGCCGTCGATGGCTTGGACAACACCTCCATCACGCACGTGGAGATCACCGCGCCCGATGCAGTCCTAGACCAGTTGCGAGACTTACCTACACGCACGGTGCAGGATAGTCGCGCTTTTAGGAATGTCACTGTCTCGGCAGCCGCAGGAGTCGTGACGCATGGCCGGGTTTCTTGGCGTCAGTACATGGGAAATTTCGACGAGGTGCTGCAGCACATTGGCAGCACCGCCGGATGTCCCACCTCGCGAAGAATTGCTCTCATTGGCCTGGCCACGGATTGCACCTTTCGAGATGCCTTTGGGTCGAGTGAAGAAATGCGACGAGGACTAATCGGCATGGTCAATGCAGCTTCAGAAGTGTTCGAGCGGACTTTCAACATCTCCCTTGCCATCAGGAACCTCACCATCAGTGACGAAGCCTGCCCTGAGCATGCTTCCGAGACCATGCCCTGGAACGTACAGTGTTCCGCCGGGGACATAGACTGGCGTCTCCGACAGTTTGCCTCCTGGAGAGAGTCCCAAGACGCGACGAATGCCTACTGGACCTTGATGACAAACTGTCCAACCAACAATGTGGTGGGTGTGTCTTTGATCGGGGGGCTGTGCAACATCAATCAAGGTGCGAACGTCGTGGCGCGCACTTTGAATCAATGGCAGGTCTTTGCGTGAGTGTCTGTATTTTGCTTCTGTTCGTTACTAGCCTGATCCATATTGACGCTTCTTTGGTCTCCACAGCCACGAATCAGGGCATATGTTTGGAGCGATCCACGATTGCGAATCCCCGGCCTGCTCTTCGTCTCACCGGCAATGCTGTCCCCTTTCCTCTTCTATATGCGACGCAGCCGGTGCATATCTGATGAACCCATCATCATCATCTCGACAGACCACATTCTCACCCTGCAGCATGGGGAGCATATGTTCCTTGATCGGCAACCGACAGGTGCAGGCCTCGTGCCTTGCGGATGATAGCGACCGCAACCTGACGATGATCACAGCAGACGGATGCGGAAATGGTATCGTTGAGGAAGGGGAGGAGTGCGACTGTGGTGGACATTGTGAGGAGGACGCATGCTGCGACGGGGCCACGTGCCGCTTCAGGGAGGGGGCAGGCGCTCAGTGTCACGGAGATAATGGAAGTCGATGTCAAGGCGACAGCTGTGACAATCAGCAGTCAGCACACTCGTGGTTCGACCGCTACCGCTCGCTGATAATTGGACTGGTTGCTGGAATCGGAGGAGGGTTAGTTCTTGGGTTGTTAATTGTCTTGATCTGGTCCTGCAGTACTCCTCGTCATCGCGCGGGGTCCAGAACGCGTGCGTCTGTGACAGCCCAGAGGTAGTCTGCGTCGCATCGTTTACAGCCAGAAGAGGTCTAATTGGCGATATTTATTCCGGCGTTAGCTTTAGAGGTCGCAATGGCTTTGATCCTGAGCCCATGATGGTTTCCTTGTGTAGCTAGGTGGCTAGGTGGCTACCTTCGATGGCCATTGTAACCCTAACTGGTGCCAACGGAGCGCAGGAGCTCCTCTCTTTGCCCGCCACCAATTGGTGGACACGAGCAATTCGGGCGATCCTACCAGTAGCCAGCGCCATTTGCGCACGAATTCTTCGGTCGCCTCCCAGTTCCGGGGGTCCCATGGCGCTCCCCAGACCACCAGGGAGGCCCCCGTATTACGGGTGTCCCAGAAGGCCATCAGATCCCGGCACAGTTCATCCTCGTCGAGCCGGTCTCCGGCGAGAATCATGACCTCGCGCATCCGCGGGAAGGGGAAGAAGTCCAGCCAGGGATGATGAGGCACGAGGCGCTGGATAGGAGTGGGCCGGAGACTGGGGGGGATTTGTGCCTCCGAAGAGCCCGGCAGCGACAAGTTGAAGATAGACAGAGCATCGTCCGGCTGCATCCAAGCTGGAGTCATGCCCACGGCGCGGATGTTCTCATTGATGGCGCGGTGGACATTCAGCCGGCGAAGACTGACTAAGTGCTCAATCTGAGGACTGCCCAGCCGAAAACTCTGCTGTGCAATTGCCTCAAACTGCTGCCGGAACTGCAGAGCACCTTGAGGAACGAGATGGCAATCCAGATCGTTGTCATCAGGCTCATCTGCGGAATGCGACCGTGGTGAGTCCGTTGAGTGGGTGGTGGTGGTGGTGGTGGTGGTGTTGCGGGCCTGGACCAAGGTATCGAACATAGACTCAGTAGTCTCGCGTGCTGATGCGGAGGATTGATTGATTGCTTTCTGCTTCATGCCTGAGATCCCGTACAATGCAGGTGGTGAATAGGATGATTATCAACGTTAAGGAAGGTGATACTGTACATACGATAGGCACGTTGATTCAATCGGTTCTGCAGGCGGCGGCGTTTTTGTCGGTCGACCACCCCGGTCCAGTCATCTTCCGGAACCCAGAGATGGTTTTGCTGAGGCATCTGCGCCAGGGTGACAGGTGTATTGTCAGACATAATGGAGTCCATCTAAATGATATAGTTACCTAGTAGTCATAGCAGCCAAAATTGACAAGAGGTGGTGGGGGGGGTTGAAAGGGAGGAGAGAAAGAGAAGGGTTGTTCCAGGTGGCGTTAGGGAGTATTACCGGGCGATAAGACGGCTTGCTAACTGGCCAACCATGGCCCTGCCCTACCCGGCCAGTACCGTATGTAACACACAGTTCCATATTACACAATACAATGGATAATGCATTGCAAACTGTTTTTATTTCTGTTCTTTTTTCCTTTTTCATTTTTTAATTTTTTTCGCTGCCACTTTATGTCTGGATCTTCGAGATGAGATGCCAAGTGCCAAGTGTCCGCCGCCTGATAGATTCACTTCAGATCGATTGCATGGAGCTTCCTCTACGAGTCTACGGAATTCTCAATTTGTATGCTCTCTTGGACCGTCGAAGCATTGACTACTAGTACCTAGCCTAAGAGTCTACTCGTGGCGATTCGGAATGGTGATGCTCACGCCCGGAAATCGACCGGCAAGCTCATCCATGATGATCGTCGCATCCACCGCGTACACAACACGCTGATCCTCCCATCGTAGCGGGCCGGCTATAATCATCGCTACGAGAACTTCAGACTCCGCATCTACCACCCACGTGCCTAGCAAGTCATAAAATGGGATGGATGCTCTCATCCGGTAGGCATCCACGGTGCCTATCCGGGGCGTCCTAAGTTCTACATAGTTGGTCACTCGAAAGGTCACTGGCTCCGACCAGGCATCCCACAGCAACCCAATTAACTGGCGGGTTCGGTGGTATGGGATAAACCCCCTCCAGAGCGAAACGGGCCACCGCGGCGTCACCACCTCATCTGGGGTCAGATCATGGTTCCAGTAGTTGGTCCAGTGCTCCGGCTTGGGGCCCAGGTTCACCAGGGCCCAGCCTTGCTCCCGGCTCCAGAACCGGGGGTCGGGCTCCGCCTCGTTGGCCTGGTCTGGTGGAGGTCCGCCGATGTACTGGTCGGTCTCGACGCTATAGATCGCGCTGCGGCGAACGACCGGCGGATGTGGAGGGTGGTATTGAAGGAATGGAATGATGCTAGTCAGTCCGTAGTGGATGCCATCGATCTCCAGAATGCCCCCGATAATCCCATACCGCGTGGTCCGGGACGCCTGTCCAACGCGGTAGTAAGTACCAGAATAAGTGGTTGGCGGAGCCTCAACCTCTGCCTCACGCAGTGCCTCGGCGATTGCCTCAATCCTCATTGTTGTTGGTCTATAGGTGCAGAAGAGATCGATGGAGCTATTTGTGGCGATGGATGCTGCGCCAGGGATTCAGTTGTACATAGACTCGGGGGGTTATTTATCTTTCTAAGTGAGGCGGAATACCTCTTTCACTCCTTTGTATACATTTTCAGTTGATAACTGGTGTTTGTCTTTATGTGCATAATGACTAGAGTGATCTCCTGGAGATTTGAGGCAAATGAGGTGGTGGTTATCCTTCCTTGTGCTTGTAGTGTGGCTGGTGCGGAATGGCGGGCCCGTTGTGTGATGGTTGCAGAAATGACACCATTGGAGATACCCCCCAACTCTTATCGCCCCTCAGAACCATATGGAATTGGCCATTGACCTGCTCCAAATATCGCGTCAGGAAGCAATGGCGACAGGAGGGAGACCATTGACGTGTTGGTGTTTGTGTTGTTGTTGTCGGATGCAAGCGGTGCATATATATCAGGAATGCATCATCCCGCCAGATGTCAACTACAACTCCATGTGTTTAAAGTTCGCCGCCAACCATGCCCCCACGATACAGTCGTGTTGCCGTGATTGGCACTGGTCCTTCAGGACTGTCTGCTGTCAAGGCTCTCCATGATGAAAACACGTTTGACACGATCCGGGTGTTTGAGCGGCGCGACCGGGTGGGGGGCATCTGGCACTACGATGCGGCGCCGGATCCCTTCCCTAGCCCTAACGCTCTTCTCGATGTGTCCAACCCGGCGCCCTCTGCGCTCCCTCAATTCACTCCTCCTCTGCCAGAGAACACCACTGCCCGCACAGGCATCTACTATCACCTCGACAGTAACGTGGGAGCGAAGGCCATGTCCTTCACCCACACTCCATTTCCCGAGGTCAACTCGGCCCTCTCCATCCGACAATTTGGACCCGGGAATGCCTCTCGTCCATTCCGCGTGGTAGCCAACTACATCGAGGATCTCTTCCAACCCTACCTCCATCTAGTCTCGCTGCAGACGACGGTCGAACGAGTGGAGAAGATCGGCGAGGAATGGAGACTCACCCTGCGGAAATCCGGCCAGCTCTACCGCGGGGTCCCTCAAGACTACTGGTGGACCGAGGCCTTCGATGCTGTGATCGTGGCCACGGGGCACTACAACGTCCCCAACATCCCCGAGATTCCCGGGCTGGCCGCCGCGTGGGAGGCGTCTCCGCGTGCCTTGGAGCACGCCAAGGCCTTCCGGAGTGCCAACCACTACGTCAATCAGCGCGTTCTGGTGGTCGGAGGCAATGTCTCCGCCGCAGACATCGTCACGGAAATCCACCCCCTCGTGGCAGGGCCCCTGTATCTCAGCCAGCGAGGGTCCAACCCCGTCCTCGAACCCGCCTGGACACTTTCGAATGTGCAGCGTAAACCGACCATTGCGCACGTTTCGACCACCGAGCAAGGGATTACCGCGCACTTCACCGACGCCACCTCGCTGACTTTCGATAAAATCATCTTCGCTACCGGCTACCGAGCCTCCTACCCCTTTCTTACCCCAGACCCTGTGACCCCGAACAATCGGGTGGCAGGCTTCTACCAGCACATCTTCCGCATTGCCGATCCCTCGCTGGCGTTGGTGGGACAGGTCCGTGCGGCTATTAGTTTCCGCGTCTACGAGTATCAGGCCGTCGCGGTGGCACGCTACTTTGCCGGTCGGTCGAGGGACCTCCCGAGTAAAGCGGAACAGGATCATTGGGAGTTCAGGCGCTTGCAAAGTAAAGGAAATGGAGTTGCCTTCCATGAGATCAAACCAGACTTCAAGGAGTATTTTGACTTTTTGGTGGATCTGGCCGGGGAGGGAGCCGGTCTACCCCCGTGGGAGGACCGGTGGGCTGAGGAGGCGTTTGAGATCTTGCAGGCCAAGGAGGCCTACTGGAAGAAGTTGAAGGCCGGGGAGAGCCAGAGTGTAGAGAGGGCAAAGCTGTAGATAGATTTCGGCCATGAACGGGCGGATGGGAATGTATTTCAGACAATGTATTGCTTGGATCACTCGCCGGACTATGTCTCGATCAGGACACTTGTTATCCCCAGTACTCATACCCTCTGTTTATTTACTGCACGTTCAGACTCCAGTACATCCCCTGATCGACCGACTTCATGCTTCACGATACCGCAAGAACGGCAACTGCCCAGGCCGGCAGATTCACGGTAAAGCTGCCACGACCCGACACAGTCGAGGTGGTAGGCGTAATCGACACGTCGTGTGGATAGTTACTCACGAGCTCGCCGCCTGACAATAATTCCAGGGATCCCGTGGTGGTTCCCGCAACATTGACCGTCACATTCTGGGCCGTCGACCCGTAATTCGCCAGTTTCACATAGTAGACTTTGTCCTCGGACACAGAAGCGACCCAATAGACAGGCCCAAAGTCTGCAGAGCTTGTGACGGGGAGGATAGTGGTCCCCCGATTGGTAGAGAATAGCTTCTGGACATAGAATGATGTTGAGCCGGTGATGGAATCGGGACTAGAATCGAGACCGAAAAGATCCGGCTATTGCGCGGAGGAACCAAGTATCAGCCGCTGTGGGTCCAGTGAATGAGGAAGAATGCATAGTCCTTACCGACCACTCGGCCATGTCAAAATGCTCGAGCAACGGGGCGAAACTCGCCATCTTGACCACGTCGCTGTTGCGTTCCAGACCTATCATGTACACGGCTTCGGCACAACTGCCCTGCATGTAGCTCCAGTAGGTGGTGCTCCCGTCATTGCCAGTCGTGCTGGCGTATTCCCCAACCAGAAGGGGATGATCACGAGAATAGTTGTCAAACTCGTTGAAAAGAGCAACGAAGGAGTCGGGCGAGAGATAGTGGTGGATATCGGTGTAGGCTCCAGTGGGCAATGTGGCCGGGAGGCAAGAGCTCGAGGTCGTCGAGGCAATAATAATCAAATCGGGATACTGGGCATGGATCGCATCGTAGATCGCCGTGAATCGGCTGGCGTACGTGCTACATCCGCCTTGTACATTGTCTTCATTGCCTACCTCGATATATTTCACTGGCCAGGGTTCCGTGCGGCCGTTCTTCGCCCGGAGCGCACCATATGTCGTCGCCGTAGAGCCAAGCACGTACTAGTCCCCAGAGTCAGTGTTGAAGTAGAGTGAACTTCGATGTCAGCGACAAACCTCAAGCTCGTTGAGGATATCATCGATGTACGGGTCCAATGCCGAACCAGAGATGATACCTCCCCCTAGTGAAAGACCTGCCCAGATGGCAAGAACTGGCTCCATTCCCATGTCTTCACACCAGTAAAGATATTCGTCGAGGCCTGACAGCTGCATCAGCATAATATCCTCCGTGCAGTGCAGAGTAATTTACCCAGTGCATCGGTATTCGCGTAAGTCCAATCACCTGTAAGTCGTTAGATCTCCAACTGTTCGCTCATAGAACAAACGAGATGTCACATACCCTGGCGACCCGGTCGATTGACAACAGCGCCAATAGTCTCATTCCATTTCCACCGATTGCTGGGACTAGCTCCTTCACTGGACGGAGGTTAGGGTTCAGTACCACAGAATATCCTGTCTCGCGACCGTTGCACCTACAGGTTATTGCCTCCCGGGAAACGCAGGAAAGACGGCTTGATCTCAGCCAGAAAGCTGGCGACGTCATTTCGCAGCCCGTTTTGTCTACACAAATATGACATATTCTGGTTATACATTGGTCGAGCTGGAATGTTGAGCTGATGTCTATGAGGTAGACTTACCGCGACTTGTATGTGGGTGGGAACAGCTGAACCAAGCCGAAATTGAGAGACTTTCCCGCAACTTTCGAAGCATCAAACCGCAGCTGCCACTCATTGTCTGCATCGGCAGACTGACTCGACGTGAAGGTCGTCTTGTAAGCGGTGAATTTGCTGGTGGTACTCTTCACTGTGATGTTGTGGTCTGCATAGACGATCCCACTCGAGGTTCCCACGAGCCGGAGATTGACCGTCCCCGAGTAGGCACCTTTGATATAGAACGAGTTGGTATACGTGGTATCCAAAACGGGAACTCCATTGTAGCCCGTGTTGGCAAATCCCACGTAGCCGGTGGCTCCGGAAGGAACCGTGACCTTGAGAGAGGAGGTGATGGCGCTGCTCACAGGACTGGAAGTGTCCTGTGTGATGTTGACATTGCCTACGGCGGCGTAGGCAGTCAGCCCGGGGCTGGTGCCCTGGAACCCGTTGTTGCGAAGCACCTGGCCATGGATTCCCCCATCGCCTATGTTCGAGTTAGCTGGCTTACAGGCGACCCGGAGGGATGATAGATAGGTTTGACTGCATCGTACCTGAGTTGTTGATATCCTGAGCGGGGATATTCAAGATTAATACGTAGCCTGAACCCTGTGTGGAATATTATTACTGACCTCAAACATGATGCCGTAGAGTAAGGGGCTGGATGCATTTCCACCAGTCTTCGACACGGTCAGGTCAATGGCCAGGGCCTGACCCGCAAGCCAAGTCATGGCCCATGCCGACAGGGAAACAAGATGCATGATGGTGGAACGGAAGACTTCAGTGCGTTCCGTCTCAGTCACTATCAAATCAAGTACTTTCGATGGGAGGTTGCTGCTTATATTCACTCTGATCTTGGATGCTAGGCTGCGTCCTTCATGTGCCGCGACATGCGAGCGTGACTGACCCCATGCATGCGGGCTTATGAACACCCCGCATTATGGGCAGAGTCCACCGGGAAATTACTCAGGGAAGGGGTTGCAGAGCTGCAAGGTACTTCTAGGGACTGCAACCATCTGTCAGGGCATTTTATGTGATTTATGGAGAAATTAGATTGCTTGCCGGATAAGCGAGGATAAGGTGAGGGGACCTGCATAAGGACTGGGAAACAATCAGAAACCCCCGCATTCCAGCCGGATAAATGCACTCACTCATCGAGTAACGACTTGTCTTGTCTTGTTCTAAACATGATGTTTCCCACTTCCCCTCACGCCAACCCCAGAGCTTAGCCGCAGAGCCAATTGCTTCCTCCTGTCCGTAGCTTTACTCGTGACGAGGTCCTCAGCTGTTGAAGGGACTGCCGCGTTAGGGCAAAGATATTCCCCCCGTTCAATCATACATTACCCCTTGATCAGCAGCATGGTTGCCGGTCGAAGCTTTGCATACAATAGTGTTTAGGTACCAAAGTTCGCATCATGCAGGAAACTCGGCTCCTAAGCAATTAGTAGCATAATGTCTATACGTAGTTGGCAACACCGCCATTTCTGAGTCATATCGATAACAAGCCGGAAGGGGACTCGGGTAGAATCGGAAGAAGGACCTATGCGAGTACAGTACAAATAGAGAACTATAACTATCAATAATATCAATACCGCACTGGAGGTCATATCGATACATGCTACCAGAGATGTCTGCCCGATGGATTCCTCGACCACCCTTTTTCCACTCCCTCCTTCACTCCACCTCGACGGCTGCGGTGCGCCCTGAATTTCTCACTTCACTCAGTTCATCCTATGTCAACCCACGCCAGCACATCATAGGCACTGACGGCATCACCCAGACCATTCCTGGCTCGGCGGTAGCTGGAATTAGTGATGAGAGCGTCCTTGCACTCTTCACAAGCGGCTTTTTTGGTGGCTTCGTTTTTGCCCCGGAGTGGCTGCTGCTGACGGCTGCTGGGGGAAGAGTTCTACCTGTGGAGTATACCGGTCCGTATCTCCTGAGTCAATGCGAGTAATAGTAGAGTTCATTAATAGAACGATGCCTCAGGCTTTACAAGAGAAACCCACATGGCCCCAACTCTCTGGCGCCAGGCGCAGGTCTCCGACTCCCAGCTCCATCCTGTGGGCACCTGCTTTTTCGGCACATTCATGATTCTAGACAAGCACATTGCCACCGAGTCAGAAGTGACCAAAACCGGTCAACACGCTAGTTGGGTTGACTACGGCTTTGGGTCGGATGCATCCTCATTCGCAGGCTGTCACCGATTTCAGATCACAAGACTTGAAGGAAACGGGGACAGCAAGGGCAAGACAGACTCAACCGCCGAAAGCAAGGTGCAGATTGAGCTCCAGTCATTTCAATGCAACCCGCAGAAGAATGTACCTTTCAGCTCTGAGATCTTGAAACAATTTCATTATCAGTATGCGAGACTGCTCTTCGCGAATGGAATTCAATCCGTCCTCTTACGGAAAGCTTGAGCACGCCCTTTGATGGCTGCATCAAAGGCTCACGGCGGGTCCGAGGAGTTTGTATATTATTAATACTCGGAGTTTGGCTTTATGGACTACAGTGCGCAATACCCCGCTCTACGTGACAATCAACTAAGATCTTGGAAAATCAATATAGCCAGTTCTGAAATCGTTCTATGCTGTTAGAAATACATCAAGCCACTGAGAAACAAAAAGCAAATAAAGAAAGAAAGGGAGAGAGAAAGGGTGATCACGACATAACCCCGCAAGCCCCGTCAAACAACCTGTAGAATCTGTTGTAGCAACTCGTCTGAGCCTGGTCCAGTTGGGTTCGCAGCCCGCAACGCGTCATGCGCATCCTCCGGTGGATATATCAACTTCTGGTTAATGTAGCACTTGACGCGCTTCGCCATCTCCCCGGACATTTGGACCCGCCGCTCCCAGCCCCCCGAGATCACCGCCCCCCAACTGCCCAAGTCCAGACAGCACAGATAGGCTGCTTGGGAGTATTTCACCAGAGACTCACCCAGGAGATCGGCTGCTGCATTATGGCCCGCCACCCGACCCAGTTGCAGGGCATGCTGACAGGACATCAAGGCATAGTGCCCTTCCCTGTCCGCCATGGCGCACGCGGCATCGCCAGTGACCAAGATATGCTTGGCAGACGGGGCACGGAGCCATTCATCAACAAAGACTCGTGCGAGTGAGTCTTTTGGTCCCGGGATCTGCTGCGTGAGGGGAGTGGCCCGAACCCCGGCCGTACAGATGGCCGTTTTGGTGGCAATGCGTTCTCCGCACATGAGGGTGACACCATCCGCATCCACGGCTTGGATGCCCGAGCCCAATCGACTCTCAATGCCGAGCTCACTTAAGGCTTGTGTGATGACTGGACGCGGACCCGGTCCCAGCTCGGGACCGAGATCCTCAGCCTGATCTACCAGGATGACCCGCAGATTGGCAATATGACCCAATCGCTTGGGTAGTTCCGCGGCCAATTCGATTCCGGTAAAACCAGCCCCGCAGACCACCACGGTATCTCGCGCAGGGCTGGTGTCCAGAGACTGGAGTGTGGCCAGATGCGCGTCAAGCTTCGCAGCAGACTTTAGAGAGTCCACGTCAAACGCATGTTGGCGAAGCCCAGTGATACTTGGCGGTTGAACGACGGAGCTTCCGGTAGCCAAGATAAGGCGATCATACGGAACGTCGTATTCGGCTCCATCGGTGGACTGTGTATGAACCATGCGCGCCTTGACATCGATGCTCTGGGCGGTCCCCGGGCAGAACTCAATGCCAGTGGCCGCGAAAAGGGGACCCAGTGGGTGGATCATATTGCCAGCGTCTGCCTCGTAGAGACGAGGGCGGAGGACCAGAGTTGCACTAGGAGCAATGACCAGTACTTTGATATTGCCGGTCTGGTTGGCGAGGTTGATGAGACGCTGGGCTGCCAGTGCGCTCCAAAGCCCGGCAAATCCGGCTCCCAGGATGACGATTTTGGCTGGCATGTTTGGGATAGTGTCGAGTGGTCTAAGATGGTCTAAGATATGAGAGAGGAATGATTGATGAGTTGGAGATGATACAAGGAGCCCAGGCAGATGCATCTTCTAGAGATTTATAGAGTAGTCAATTTTATGGACGGGATTCCGGATATCAGGGTTCTAAAGTGGTACCCTGTATTGATGCTATACACGTTGACTCTCAATTCAATTGGCTATTCACCTCAAATACCCTCGAATACCCGGATACCCGGCGCTAGTCTGCTTTGGGCCTGGATGCTGAGTCATGCGGTCCCCGTCCCCCACTCCGTCTTCCTCTTCTCCATCTCCATCTTCTTGTCGATACTTGAGTAGCATCATCATCATCATCATCACTCTCCCTCGCCATGACTTCCAAAGTCACCCGTTCATCGTTGGCCTGCTTACCATGCCGGAGTCGACATCTCAAATGCGACGGCAAGCGACCCGCCTGCAGTCGCTGCGTGGAAGTGGCTCAGCCGTGTGAGTATACCCGGTCGCGTCGGGGGGGTCTGGACCGCGCTGCGCTGGCGGAACGGCGCAAGCGCTTGGCCGCCGCGGCAATAGCAACAGAGACAGAGGCAGAGACAGAGACCAACTTGCTCAGCAACATCCCAGCCAGCACAAAACACTTCAATATCCCTCCATCCACTGTGTCTACATCGACCTCTTCTACATCAACCTCCTCTCGGCCGCAGACGCAGATCGATCAGCCGGATCATGCCGGCCTCCTCGACTCGTACTACCGCCATTTCCATTCTTTGCATCCTTATGCACCACCGCAGACCCATCTCCTAACCCTCCTTCAGGATCCCGGTCAAGAGACCCGATGGAGGCCCCTGCTTGCTGTTATGTATTGTATAGGTCATATCTATCTGGCACACGAATGGTCCGATCCTTTAGAGGAGCAAGCCGAGACCTGCTTGGCTCAAGCCCCCCCCCTCGACCCCGTCCTGGTTCCGTCCCGCCTCCTCTACTCCATAGCTCTGTTCTGGTATGGGCGGAAGGAGAAAGCATTGTCTGAGAATCAACAAGCAGGACGATTGGCGAAAGAGCTGCAGATGTATCAGTCGCAATTTGCCCTCACTCACGGCGGCGAGGATCGAGTGCTACAAGAGTGTTGGCGGCGGGCGTGGTGGTCAGTCTATGTTCTGGACTTATTCTTTGCAGGCACGCTTGGCACGATGGCCTTCGCATTTCTAGACGTTCAGGCCACGGCGGGTCTGCCGTGCGAAGAACATGAATATGAGTCAGGTGTAAGTATGAAAAGTCCCCTGCCTCGTCACATACTGGCCCGACTCACGCGAAAGTAGGAAATCCCCCCGCCGAAGACTATGCAAGACTTTGACTGCCGCGAGTTCGCTCTTGATGACCCGGTCTTTTCGTCTTTCACCTACCTGGTTGGTGCCGCGCGATGCGCCGCAATGGCGATCGCGACCGCTCCAAGGAATACAGTCAAAGAGGACTCGACCCGAGTCATTCAGACGGCCGACTCAATACTGGACGGGTGGATGCTGCTGTTACCCCCGAGCCGGAAGCAGCTGATGAGCAAGACCGGCGAGATCGACGAGCTCATGTTTCAAGCGCACTTACTCATCCACGTGTAAGCCTGTTGCGGAATGCTCCCGAAAAATCAAATCGAGCTCACCATCCCTCACAAGCGCTTCTATCGGCCTACACCGGCCGTTTTCCGATCTCAAATTCAACCCGGTCGAGGATCTATCCAGCTGCGCCCGAGACCCACCTCCGAACGCCCCTACCCCGGAATTAGTCAACGTCCACACAGTCCGGGTCCTGCGATCCGTCGAAGCCCAGGTCCGCCTGCTGGCCCTCCCCGTGCAACAGTTTCATCATACCCCGTTCGTCACCTGCATGATCAGCGAGGGCGTCCTCTCGTTACTCTCCGCCTGCTACTGCCTTTTGGCAGGCAAGGACCTGGCCATTGCACGCGACCAGATACGGTTGATCATCGGATGCCTCAAGGCACTGGGCGAATGGTGGCCGAGGACCGCGAAGAACGTCCGCGAGATCCAGACGATCGCGAGCCACGTGCTTGGTCTCGTCCCCGCAACAGCGACCAGTGCGCGCTCCAGGGAGAGTACCAGCTCGAGTGAGCTACCCGGTCTAATTCACGGGAATGAGACAACGGCATCGGGAACTACGTCAGAAGTCTCAATATCTAGCTCCGAGTCGGATGTTCTTCTATCCTTAGACTCTCTACAAGACATGTGCGGGTGGTTTAACATGGGGGATTTGGATGCAGATCCGTCATGGGGTCTAGGGATTGGTCTTTAAACCCAGATCGGGGAGCATACTTACTGCTGGCAGTAGTCTCCCCTAGTAATCCAAGATATAGAAATAATACCATCATCGCAAAACTTGGCGCGTTCTCACACCGTAGCCTCTTTTGGGAGATCAAGATCATTGCCAGGTGACTGTGAAGGTGAAATGTCCTCCATTGTGCAACCACAGATTCAAAACCAGGGGTCTACGTAGCCTTATATTTGATGTTCTGGTTGACGTCAAAGACCCTTTATCAGCAATCCTCTACTTTCTTTTTCTTGCGCGTCAGAATGGTGAGATTATATTAAGACTGTATACTTCGTAATTATCAGTCTGACCCAGGTGAGCTCAGGACGAAACCAAGGGGGGTGGTTTGTGAGCGCAAATATATATCAAGCCATCGGAATGGCTTTCACAACATCCCAAGACCGACGACGAGAGCAAGTAACCCACACACCGGAATTTGCTCGCGATGGCTAGCGGCAGCACCGGTGAAAATGGGCCCAGCAGCGCTTCCGGTACTGGACGACCCCTGCACTGCAGACGTGTGCGCCGTCGCTTTCACGGTGGCGAAGGATGATGCTGCGGGCGAGTTGATGGGTGACTTCGACGGATTCGAAGTGTAGGCAGCCGCAACTGAAGATGGGACTGGTGTCTCAATGCCCTTCATGCTTGCAGGTGCCATTGGGTTAGATACGTTCTGTGCCGTGGAAGCACTATTAGACGCATTGGTGAAAGTAGCCGAGACGCCGGATTCGGATTCCAATGTTGAAGAACTTGCTGCGGACTGGGCGTCGTTCGAGATGGGCTCCAAGTCAAGGGTGGAGTCAGGGTTGGTCGACGCGGTGGGGTTGGTGGCTGGGCTTGAGGTAGTGTCGGGGCTGAAACCGGAGGGAGAGCCGGATGCAGGGCCAGAGCCGGAAGTAGAGGCAAGCGCAGAGTCGGTGCCGGAGCTGTGGCTAGAACTTGTGCTAGCGGCACTGTCGAAGGCAGGTCTAGAGGAATGCCCGTCAACAGGACTAGAGGATTGGCTGGATGAGGAGCTAGAAGAGAGCCCGAGTGAAGAGTCGGACACAGAATCCGAGGAGTATGAAGGGGAGCCGGGAAGGGCTCCAGCCGATGAGCTTGCATACGAGCTTGAGGCGAAGCCTGCAGAGGAACCTGTGAAAAAACCTGTGGAGGAACTTGTGGATGAATCTGAGGTAAAGCCTGGGATAGAGCCCGAGACAGAACCAGCCCCGGCTGAAGATTCAGAGCTAGGGCTCGACTCGGATGATAGATGATCTGCAGAACCAGAACCAGAGCTAGATTCCACCCCCGAGCCGATATTCAAGCTTGAAGTTGAACCGTCCCTCGAACTAGAAGTCAAGTCTGGGACAGCTGCTCCAGGTCTAGTAGAGACAGATGCAGTCTCCAAGCTGGGAACAACGCCATTTATGGAAGATGTGGCAGCTGCCTTATACTGGCTGATAGTGTTGGCCAGACCAGTACCTCCTCGACTTCCTGCTACACCGTCTTCACCAGCCTCGGGCAACACGGTGTGGGTATAGCGCGATGCGGAATCGGTTGCACTTGCAGGGATGCGATCGACTGCTGCGGTAGCCAGAGTTGCCTTGGCCGGAATGACCGTGGTTCCAGCCACCAATGTCTGAGTACTTATGAATGTGGTCTGGGCGCGAGCCGGACAGTTGGTGACCTTTGCAGCGCACGAGGTGATGGTCATCGTTCGGGTTGTCAGAATTGTGGACGTATAGGAGCCATCGTCGACGACGGTTGCAGTGGCTGTGACAGGACAGATTGTGGTTGAGACAAGAATCGTTTCGGTCGTGAGGTATGTGGTCTTCTTTGAGACAGGACAGTTAGGGATAGTGGAAGGGCATGCGGTGATTGTAGCAGTGCTAGTGGCGAAGACGGTGGATGTAGTCAAGTCAGGCCCGGCAGAAATTGATGTCGCAGCATCAGTGCTCGGCACAGTCCTTGTAACAGCGGAGGTCACAGGAAGACCATTAGATGGCAAATTCGAAAAGCCTGGAGTCACGACTGGCGTCGCGGTAGATTTGCCTTCGGTCGGAGCAGAAGACACTGTAGCTGAAGGGAGGAGTGGAGGCGCTGATGAAGCTACCACCGACGAGAACTTGGGAACTGAAACTGGGACAACCACCGGCGTCGTGACAGGAGTGAAGGCAGTGCGACCTTCAGAAATAGAGGAAACGGCAATGCGACTGCGGCTCACTACAGCGGACGGCGACCGAATGGGCGTTGAGAACGGTCTAGCTGCAGATGACACTGGAGACACAGGTATCCGGCTGGAACTGGCGATTGGCGACGAAGAGACTGGTGCTGAAGACACGGTCCCTGCTGATGAAACGGGTGAAGAAGAAGGAACAATAGCACGGCTAGGGCTAACATTCGCAGACGAGAGAATTGATGCCGAGGACACTGCCAAAACTGATGTGGCGGGCGAAGAAGAAGCAGCAGCAACAGCACAGCTAGGGCTAACAATTGCAGACGAGGAAATCGCTGCTGAGGAATGGATGGCAGACGATGAAGGCACAGGAGTTGAGCTCGCTACCACGACTGATGAAGATGTACGTACTGGGCAACTCACACTTGGGATACCCAAGTGGACATTGGCAATTTCCATGTCGGGCAGATACGTATAGTCATCGGTAGTGCATTGCACACTGACGAGGATTTGAAAGTCCGAAACTGTGGCATCCCAGCTTCCATTCGCCGTCATCCAGCCACTATCAGTGGATGAAAGCGTGACCTCGTCATGGAAGAGATCCAACAGAAGTCCCGAGGCATCATCCGACAGCCGGTAGTCGATACTGCAAGAGACAGCCACATCGGAGTCATACTCCCCTGCCTTGAGTCTCCAAGAAGCTGAGGCCACGTACGTTTGTCCAACTTGTGCGTCGGCAATGGTTTGGTTGAGTTGGTAGAAGTTATAATTCGAGCCTGACACGAACCTAGACCGACCTGGTCAGCGTAAGCGTTCGTGATAAACTGCTGTGCCCCTCACTTACACGCATTGACCACCACCCGGGGCATTGTCGTCCACCAAGTCGAGATTAGTGCTCCGTGACATGTCACGCCAAACTGTACTCTCGTCGTCGGAGAAGTCGCCGTCTTGCACCAGTTCCCCGGTCAAAGTGGTTGTGGCAGCTGCACACTGGGATGTACAGACCACCTCCGGTCCCAAGAACGAGACGCTAGAGATCTGGAGCGTACTTGTGGAAGCCTGCGAGCAGGTAATGCTTAGCCGGAGGGTCGCCTCGGTAGTCGTTGATTGCCATTGTCCCATTATCAAATCCCAACCAGTGGCGCTTCCATCCGCAGACCAAACGTAGCCATAGGTCACAAACCGGGAGGAATCCTCGGTCACAGCGTAGACATCCATCTCACAGTACGGGTAGGCTCCGTTCGAGTCTGCCTCTCCAAATAGGTTGGCATACATGTTGAATTGGTAGTAGGGGCCCTCTCGGAGTGAAATGGGTTGCTCCAGCACGAACCCATTCTGCGAGGTGCTATAGGGTATTTCACTAGGCACTGCGCGTTAGAGACATGTGGAAGCACAATGAGACAAGACTGCAGAAACTTACAGATAACCGCCATTGTTAGCACCTCCACTGGTCACGATCGAGTATTCATCCGAGGTCGAGGTCGAGGTCCAGGCCGACTCGTCTGTGAAATCGCCGTTGGCCACTGCATCGCGGGTGACCTGGGTGCAGACGTCGATGTCGGTGGCGTAGACAGCATCAATGCCGTAACTTACGAGCCATACTAGTGGCCACAGGGAATGAATGAGTCTCATATTTGATCTTCAAATGATCGTGTGTGGGTAAGCGAATGACAATGACGACCAAGTCAAGGAGCGGACGGGCCACAAGGGCCGAAGTAGACTTTGCGAAGGACTGGGACGGAATCTCTTGAGGACGGTGAAGTCAATTAGGAACTCTTTGCCATTTATAACATCTTGTCATTTGGCAGTGGGCCTTGAGCGCGTATCTGGATGGATGGATGGCTCCATCTTCGGAGGTCGGCGTGTCCGTCTCGGGAAGAATTGCCCTCATTCCCACGCCAACACGAACTACGCCCCACTTTCATCGCTAGTTTTGTCCCTCTATTGATCATCCCGGAGGAATGGGTCAATCAAGCCGATTTTTTCCCCTGAAAAGTTCCCATTTTCAACTCTGTTGACGCGGTAGACATGATAAGCAGCTGAAATACCCACCGGCCCTGATCCTGGGGTTGAAGTCATGCACAAGTTCCCATCGCCTCAGGATCACCACATAGCGAAGAATCGAGTTGCTACCTCCGAAGTGACTCTAGAGCAGAAATCTAAATCCTCGAGTCACAGCCTGACCAGGCAGCCCATGTTCTTCATTATCGTTTCGCTGGCCACTCGAGGCCCCCATATCGGTACCCTCTTCTCGGTCCAACCGCTTGTTCAGTCGTCCAAGGTAAATGCGCAGGATTGTGGCAAAGATGATAGTCATGGAAGACATTGCGATGTTCACGCTGAACGCCGTGATATATCTTGGTGATGCCGAGTCTGTCATCAGAACGATCAGTCAACCATTTGACTAAATTTGACTCATCATGTTAAAAGGACAACTTACTCGGGTATAGATACGGTGTATAGATCTGGCAAACATTACTCAGACAATTGATTAAGGCGAGAGCCGCCGCTCGCTTTGTTGCGGGACGGGGGAGGACTGTGTCTTGTCAATCAAGGGGCTCTTGTACGCGTGACATAGGATGCGCCATACTGTTGGAGATGTAGCCCAGGGCCACCACGTAAGTGGAATAGATTCCAGGGAGCATGATACACATCGCCCTAATTCCAGTCAGCCTCAATGGCCAATAGTCTTAGAAAAAGAAGGAACATACACATAACGTGCGCCGAAAGAATTTCCCGCCATGGCGAGGATGAATGACACAATGGCGAGAATCGGAGGCAGGGCGATGTGCAGATAGCGCTCGCCCGTCAAATCAGCGTGCCAGGCATTGATCAGGACGACAATGGTTCCGATCAAATACGGTGGTGTCGTGAGCAGCAAAGTGTCGATATTATTCTTTCCCAGCCCAGCCATTACACTACACATCATGAGCACTATATCTCGCCGGAATGGTTGATGCAGATACATACCTCGGGAAAAAGGTAGTTACAGCTCCTGAAGCTGTGCAGCCGTAGATGGTTCCCAGTAGGAGCCAGGCTTTGATATCGCTGGACTGAGGGTTAGCTGCAATCGTTCCCACGGGTTCCAAAGCTCAACGTCTTGAAGCTCTTACAAGAATGCCAACTTGGCGCCATGCAACATAGACTGGTGCTGTTGGTCCACCCAATCATCCTCACCGATGTCGGCCTCCAACCGCCAGGCAGCCAGGGCTTTCTCTTCCTCCGACAACCATCGCGTGGTTCGTGGTAGATCGGGGATGATGAAGAACGCAATGAACGCAACAAATACCTGGTCGCGATGTTAATCCCTCTGCTTCGATATCGCGGTGCGTCGCGCACTTACAGTAAGCGATCCTTCGATGATGAATAACCATCTCCAAGCGCCCAGGCCTCGGGCGCCATTCAGCCCACTGGTGATTCCCGCCGAGATGAGACCGGAGAAGGCACCTGATAGCAAGGACCCGGAATATAACAGTGCAGTTCGTTTCCCAAGTTCTTTGCGGGTGTACCAGGCGGAAAGCAGATACAGGCAGCCGGGCTAGCAAGTCATCAGCATGGCTTCAAGTGTGCCATTTGGCTATGTCGGCGCACATACGAAATACGCGGCCTCGACAAATCCCAGAAAGAAACGACAAAGTAGTAGACCCGTGAAGTTGTGCGTGGCAGCAGTGGCGCAGGAGATCACGCCCCATACCAGCATACACCCGGGGAGGTAGAGCGAGGGCTTTCCCAGCTTGTTCAAGATCATGTTGGATGGGACTATGCATGGATCCATCAGTCTGAGAACCCCAACAATGGACGCCAATCAACTAGACGTACCCTGCATAAGCAAGTATCCGATGAACAGAATGCTGACCGAGAGCTGGAAAGAGGTCAATTATGCACTGAAGAATGGTTTTCCGAGCGTGGGTCTACCTGATACTGGTCACCCTTCAAGTTTAAGTCTGTCTCCAACCCGGCCAGTTTGGCAGCTGCAATGTTGTTGCGGTCCAGGTAGTTCAGGATGTACATGGCCACGATCATGATGAGCAGTCGAATGTCCACTTTGCGCACCAGTTTCTTCTCCAGTCGTTGTCGTTCATCGTCGGGGAGGTTGCGAATGTTGCGTACCAGGTCGCTGTCCTGGCTCTTGATGGGATTCCCATCTTCACTGTATTCGAGATGGTCGGCAGTGACATCTTTCCTGATATCAGCCATGGCTCTTGGTGTAGAAGGTCTGTTCACGGAATGGAATTTGAAAGGAAGTGGGATCAGAGCCAGCAGACCTGTCCACAGCACAGCCAAGGAGACAGAGACCGACCAGGATTCTGCCAAGCTTAAATGGAGAAGAACCTGGGGTAATTCCCACTGGTAATTGCGGGGTAGCAGGGCCGTGAAGCACGGACTGTGAACCCTTGATTCGTATAATTCGGAAAAGAGCCACTGCTGTCGGATACGTATTCTTGTTTGCCTCTTCTTATCCGAGGAGGAGGTCAACCACGAGGCTCATGATCTTCAGTCGCAAGTGACGCCAGTCCATTGTGTTGTACCATACAGTATTGAATTGAATTTCTCCAGCCTATGCACTTTACATGTTCTGCCTGAACGACAATAGGGTGGTCGAGTGGCCATTGCGAAGGGACTCGGATATCCATCACATTCATCTATGTAACTGTACTGTAATCACCCTCTCTAATCTCCATCTCTCTACTGCATACATCAAGCCTGAGCCTTGAGTCGTTTCTGCTCTTCCGCCCAGGCCAGTGCGCTTTTCCGAGCACTCTCTTCGCCCACCTCACCAAAGATGTCTATCCCCAGGCGGGCCGGGAAGTTCATACGTTGGTGCTTTTCCAGGGATTCAATCGCGTTGAATGCCTCCTCGGGCAGGACAAAATCTAAATTGACAATCGTATGGTCAGGCCTACATTCTCAGTATCCGATAGACGTTCTAAATACGGCATACCTTCGAAGTTGCTCTGGATTCTCTCGGGGGTGACCGACTTGGGCAGCACGACGGTGCCGCGCTGAACCGCCCAGCTAATCAAGACCTGCGCTGGAGTCTTACCCAGGCTCTTGGCCGTTTCGATGACGAGAGGATCATCGACCGCGCTAAGTCCACGTCAGTTACCGTACCTGCAGTCGGAAAATGCTTAACGCCACCTACCGCGGAATGTTATAAATGTTGTTTCCGAGGGGAGAGTATCCCTCTACCACAATCCCCTAGACACGACACCCGTTAACAACCCCTTGAGACACAACTTTGAGGAGACTCACTTGTTGTTTAGACCACTCCAAAAGGTCTTTTTGCTGAAGATAGGGATGCGCCTCGATCTGGTTCACGGCAGGGGGGATTTGGGCTCTGGCGATACGTCAGTCAACTCATTGTTTCCATGAGACCAGTGCACGGACGTCTTGAGCAATTCTTCGATCTTCTCGCGGGTGAAGTTGCTCACTCCAATAGAGCGAATCTTCCCCTTGGCCACCAGCTCCTCCATTGCTGCCCAGGTATCCTTGGCCGGCACGTCGATCACATCAATCAAGCCCGTCTCCTCGACGATCGGCTGGTTGGTGGTGGAGGAATAACGGAACGAGACTGGCCAGTGGATCTATATGACATTGAGTCAGTCCCACCAGCCTGCCCCCTTCAACACCAGTGTTGCCTCCTACCAGGTAAAGGTCCAAATAATCGGTTTGAAGGTCGGCTAGGGTCTTGTCCACGGCGGCTTCGACATGTTCGGGCTGGTGATGGGTATTCCACAATTTGCTGGTAAGCTAGGGCCACGTCGCGGTCAGTTCCGAACTCCAAGGCCATTCACATTCAACGAATGATGGGTATACGCACGAAGATCTCCTCGCGCGGAATGCCCGAGGCTTTGATACCATCTCCAACCTCTTGTTCGTTTCCGTAGATGGCAGCAGCGTCGATGTGACGATAGCCTCCTTTGAGGGCGGCAACCACGGCCTCGCGCACCTCGTTCGGCTTCGATTGCTGGAATAACCGCGCTATCAGTATCCATCTTCCCGGGCGTTTCGTTCAAAAAGCGACATACCCATGTCCCAAGCCCGACGGCAGGGATCTCATAGCCCGAGTTCAACTTGAACGTGCGTCCTGAAGCCATATTGGGGATGATAGAGGGATGGAGTGGTGAGTCGGTGGGAAAGAGGGGTACGAATGAGACAGATGCCACGCACGCAGCAATATCAACAGCAATCTTGGCCACCTGAATCAATCTAGCCCAAATTTTGCTAGCCCCGCGGTTTTATCAATATCGAGCCCGAGTGACGCCATCTGCGCCCGCCTCGGAAAAGTAGCGGAGTGGTGATGCTTATCCGAAGGGCTTTCCCCTCCGAGCTTTCTTTTTCCGAGACATCTTTTCCGCCGCACCTGTTCCGGAGTGCCTCCCTGTGCCAAGATGGATCGCGACAACCCATCTTGTGGACGCTGCTGCATTTCAACATGGCCGGCCTGTGTATCCTGTCCTGGCATACCATCTCTATCGCCAATTCTCAACAATCATGGCACCTATCACCCAAATCGAGTATTTTCGAGTCCCCCCACGATGGTTGTTTGTCAAGATCACCGATGGCGATGGCAACACTGGCTGGGGTGAAGCCTCCCTTGAAGGTCACACGGAGGCAGTGGAAGGCTGCTTGGACGCCTTCACGGCTCGCTTTCACGGCTTGGATGCCAAGTAAGCTAGACCGGTCCAAACCTGCATTCTACATTCGCTCTGGCTGACTCGATTCCCTTCGCCATATAGTGCAATCGAGCATATCTGGCAGAATGGCTATCGCATGGGATTCTATCGCGGAGGACCAGTTCTGATGAGTGCCTTGGCTGGGATTGATATTGCCCTTTGGGATCTCAAAGGTGAGCGCGCGCTCTTAACCCCTTGCATTGCGCACATTCACGCCTAATCGTCTCGTTCTCTCCTAGCGCGCCGACTGGGCTTACCCATCTACGAACTCCTGGGCGGCAAAGTTCGGGATCAATTGCGAGTATACGCCTGGATTGGAGGCGACCGACCGGGGGATGTTGAGGTGCAAGCGTAAGAGCCACAGGTTCTGTGTCTGGGCAGATATTCTGACTTGCAGGCCTTTCTATAGACGCGCACGAATCACGCAGGGGTTCAAGGCGATTAAAATGAACGCTACCGAGGACCTGGGCTGGTTAGATTCCCCCCACACCTTGGATACATCGGTCGAGCGTCTCAAGACTGTTAAGGCACTTGGCCTGGACGCGGGCGTAGACTTCCACGGGCGCGTGCACAAGGCGATGGCGATCCAGTTGGCCCACAAGCTCGCCCCGCACGAGCCACTGTTCATCGAGGAGCCACTCCTGTCCGAGCACCCGGAGTCAATCGCCGCCCTGTCCAAGCTGGTGCCCATCCCTATTGCGCTGGGGGAGCGCCTGCACAGTCGGTGGGACATCAAGCCGTTCCTGGAATCTGCATCGGTCAGTATTCTCCAGCCGGATATCTGCCATGTGGGTGGCATTTCGGAGCTGCGTCGGATGGCGACCATGGCGGAGGCCTACGATGTGGCCTTGGCTCCCCACTGTCCGCTGGGTCCCATTGCCCTCGCGGCCAATTTGCAGGTCGATGCCGTCTCGGCCAATTTTGCGATCCAGGAGATGAGCGTGGGGATCCACTACAACCACGGCTCAGCGGATATTGGCACGTATGTCAAGAATCCTGAAGTCTGGACGGTGCAAGACGGCCTGATTCGGTTGATGGATGGTCCCGGACTGGGGATCGAGCTGGATGAAGAAAAGATCCGGGCTGCAGCGGTGGATGCCACTGCCTGGCGAAGTCCAAGCTTTCAGGGTCCCGGGGGAGAGTGGCGAGAATGGTAGGAGTAGGAAGGGATATGTATATTGCCTGGAGATGTTAGAGCCCTCCCCTTCTTAGGTACTCGTACTAGAGTACAGGACAGTACATGGCTTTCCAATGGGAAGTAACAAGGCCTTGGTTGTATTAAGCTATTCGATTCGCCAATGTAAGCGAACTCAAGCACAATTTCCAAGAAAGGGTAGAGAGTGGATATTACTTCTACTTCCAAAGGATACTCGTATAGTTGTAGTATAGAGACCTCGTGACTTAACTTTACCCCGTGGGGTTGGAGGTGACTAATCCACTAGTTAACTAACTACGTATCCGACCTCCGACCTTCCGCATCTTCTCCCCTGCATCCATCCACTCTCCACTCTCCACTCTTCTATTCCATCTTCAATAACTAATACCTCTCTCATCATCTACACACTCTTTCCATGGACACGCTGCCGGAACCCCCTCGCAAAAGACGATGTGGCAAGGAGCGAGTCCGCGTAACTCGTGCCTGCGACGCCTGCAAACGGTAGGCAAACCTCGATCCACGCTCTCTTGGTGAACATTATGCTGACTCGGAATGATAGAAAGAAGCTACGCTGCTCAGGGACGCTGCCATGTTCCCTCTGTCAGCGCACCGGCAAACCATGCGACTACACAGCCGAGTACAACCGGGGAAAGCTCCCTCCCATTCCCTCTCGTGAACAGCCCAATACTCCTCCCAGGACAGAGACCACCACCACCACCGACTTCCCCCTCGGATCTCCAGCCTCGCCAGTCAGAGAGAATGGCTTTGTGAACGAGGCTCCCTCTGGCGGCTCTCCTGAAGCACATCAGACCGATATGGAGGGTCACTATGTAGGACCTTCGTCAGGGGTTTCCTTTCTGATTCGAGCCCAGAGGAGACTGCAAGAGCAGATCTCCCTCCCGATCAATGCCCCTATCTTCAGCTTTGGTGACGCCCCGTTGTCAAAGCTGGACCCGGCTTTTCTGCTGCTTCCGCCTCGATCTGAAGCCGATATCCTCATTGCTCGATACTTTGATTTCGCCTTCCCGACCCACCGCTTTCTCCATCAGGCCCAGGTGGAGGGATGGGTCTCCGAGTTCTATGGTCCCCTACAGGACTCGGCGGTGGCGGGGCCTGGCAAGCGCGCCATTCGAGCCTTGGTTTTGATGGTCCTGGCTCACGCGAAGCAGTGTTTACCAGAGTCAGATCAAGGGATCGGAGCGTCGGTCAACGGCACCCTCTACCTGGCGGCCGCGGAGCATCATCTGGCTGCAGAGACTGGCCCGGTGCGCTTGACGAGTGTGCAGGCCCGCTTGGCCCAGTGCTTCTACCTTCTGTCGCAGTCTCGCATCAATCATTGTTGGAGTCTGTTCGGGACGACCGCCCGCCTGGCCATCGCCATTGGCCTTCATCGGGCTCGCAGGAGAGACCGGGGATCTGGCTTCGATTGCGTGGAGGGGGAGTGCCGAAAACGCGTCTTCTGGTGTGCGTATAGTCTCGACAACTATCTCAGTGCCGCTCTAGGCCGTCCGCGCATCTTTCATGACGACGATATTGACCAGGAGCTCCCCTCGGTCGCAAATGACAGCCACATTCTAGCCGACCAGATCCTCCCGGCGACGACATCGGCTCAGAGCATTATGCTGGCCCCCGTCTATCATGCCAAGCTGTCGGTCATTATTGGGGGAATCTTACATGATGTCTACGGGCCCCGGCGGGCCAGCGGGCAGGTGGAAGCGGCAGCGGCCGCCAAATACGGGGCCAGTCTGTCTCGCTGGCGTCAGGAGCTATCGGGATTCCTTGATCTGGCAAATGTTGATCTGCTCATGCTGACCTACCAACGACAGTATACCGTTCTCAATCTCGCTTTTTACCATGCGCAGGTCCTACTATACCGACCCTTCATTCTGAAAGACTTTGGTCACTCCACCGTCACCCGCCCTCAGAATGACAAATCATTTGAATCGGTCCGAAAGTACACTGGACTGTGCCTGGAGGCTGCCATGAAGATCGCAGCAATCGTCCGTGAGTTATGCGACCGGGGCAGAATGTATTCTACCTTCTGGGTAAGAGGCCCCATCTTCACGACTCCAAACAAGCCCACTGATAAGCCCGTGCGTAGTTTACCCATTACTACACATTTTCCGCGATTGTCGTCCTCTACGTCCATGTGGTCCAGGGCTCTACACAAGTGAATCGACCGGACCGACTGGACTGGTATCTTCGGATTGCTGAGCAAGCCCAGCGGGATCTCGCCTTCTGCGGCTCGCGCTCCTCGTTTGCACAGCGCTACGTGCTAGTGCTCGAGGAACTTCGGCAAGAAGCTCGAACAGCGATCAACCATACTCGTTCGGGGGTATTAGGAAGCCAGACTGTCTTCTCATCTGGTCTGGGCCAACCACCTCCATCACAGCACGGACATGGCAGCACCGGACCCGATGGAGCTGCAGAAGCCAGTGTGGGCGAAGCCTTGTTCGGCCTCCAACCTCTGCAGACCGGGGCAAAACCTGCGGACAACCAGTGGATGGACCTGACCTCTGTGCACCTCCACCCGCAGCCCTCGCACGGCAACCCTACGAACGATGCACTCGGTGGGACAGTGATTATGAATATTTCCGACTGGGAAGCCTTGGACTCGCTAGCAGTTGCTGGACTAGGAGAGCTGGACTATCTTTTTCCTCTGGATGAATTTCAAGGTGTCTAGCCTCGAGGCAAGCAGACTGCGAATACTTGATATTAGGCTTCAGACGACAGACCTCGGATTGCACAGCAAGGTAGAAAGAGATTACATGAGATTTCGACATGCTCAAGCTAACAAGAGACCTTTGAGTAAGACTACAAGTCCGGCAGCTCCGGGATCAGGAACTTCGCTCCAACCTTGCTCGGGGACATAGACAGCGCGCCCCAGCGAAGCTCGCATTCCTTGCGTTCGATCTCGGCCAGCCTGTGCGGCTATCAAAGCTGCATCTGTGGATTCACCCGCTTGCAGCGCTCTGATGAACGGCTCGAGCGCATCCATCAACGTCCGGTCACCTACTCGAGCTGGAGTGGCGCGCTGCAGAGTATCGAGTCCCGCCACACAAGCCTCGCTCCATTCAGCGGCTCCGACTAGTCTCTCTTCCTGCAGTCCTACTCCACCGTTGCGCAAGAAGGCGCCGACTGCATTCAGGAAAATCGCGTAAAGCGCGCCCGAAGTGCCATCCATGTTGTCCTCGACCACCTTGGCAATAGCCTCCACGGTCCCAACCACATCACCGTCGGGGTGCACGCACCCGCCCTTCTCCAAGTCCGCCAGAATTGCTCTGGCTGTCCGCGCCAGCGTCGAGCCACAGTCTCCATCCCCGACCAAGGAGTCGAAGCGATCAATTTCTTCCTCCGCAGCCACAACCTTGAGACAGGCGCGACTAATGGCCGCCGAAAGAGATATGTTGTCCACTATTGGCTCAAGATTATTGTTAGACAGTGTGTCAATGCCGCATACACGGAGGTATCGCAACAATTTCACTGACCTTTCAGTCGCGATGAACCTGGGTCCAGGCGTTCGGCCTGTTCTTCCACAGCAAATAACTTTCTTGCTACGGGAGAGGTTTCCAGGTGTTGGTGGGCGGTCCAGCCAGGAGTTGATGCAGGGGCATCTAAGGCTTGTATCATCGCCTTGCTGGCTTTGAGCAATGTGATGCTAAATCCTTTTCCGTCCAGGCTGGTCATGTAAGCCCCAGCGTATACTCGTCTTGGATGCAAGCTGCGTTTACCTGCGCCCCTGCTGTTAGCCAACTTTGATCACAGAAGGGAATCTCTACCTTACCAAGTCGTCCGACGACCACCTTCGTCATAGCTGAGAACTCGAGGTTCGAAATGCCACCAAGGTTGTTAACCATGAGCACCAACTCTTCCGCATCGTCGAACCGGACATAGGCTCGATCCTCGTCTTCCTGATCCAGTAATTGGTCCAGCATCTGATCCACAAGAACGTTGATATGAGGTTGAGGCTTAAGCACGTAGCATCCTGGCTCATTGTGGATCCCCATGCCGACCTCGACCTGGTCTGTCCGGACCGTCAGGTCTGTGGCAGGCTTTCCCACCAGATGCACATGATCCAAGGCAGCCCCCACCGTGGCCAAATTCGCCACAACTTCCTCACCTAACTGATACACTTTCTTCAAAGTGGCGTCTTCCTGCTGCGCGACCGCCCCGAGGATCTTCTCCACGAGGACCGTGCCAGCTAGCCCTCTCCGGCCTACCTTGCCACTTTTGCGTCGGCCAACCGACACGTCGTCCCCCACGACTAAGACTGCCATCTCATGGCCCGCGAGACGAGCCTTCTCCGCAGCGAGATGGAAGTGGAGAACATCCCCGGTGTAGTTCATGATGATCAGCAGTGTTCCAGCCGATCCCCCAGCCGAAGCAATCGTGTTCTGGATTTGATGCACACTTGGCGACGCAAAGACGGACCCAGAGACCGCAGCGCTGAGCAGGCCATCGCCTACCAGGCCGGCAAACGAAGGCTCGTGTCCCGCACCACCGCCAGATATCAAAGTCACTTTGGCGTTGCCGTCATGGCGGGAATTAATGATCGCTGCAGTGCATTAGCATTAGTTCGTACTGCACCCGTTTGACATTGGGTTACCCACATTTATTCTCCGGGTCGTAGATCAGCGATGGGTGGGTCAGTGCCAGGCCCTGAAGCGCATCCTGCACGAGAGTGGTCCCGTCGTTGATGAAGTGTCTGGCTGCCATTGCGCTGAGCGTGAAGCGAATGCGTAAGTAAATGCGTATGATGCTGGGACGACCGCAGCTTCAGCTTCTTTGTCGCGACTTTTATTCATTTACATGTTTGCTATACCCTGTCCTGCAACGTGAAGAATTCCGGACCGCTTCGAAAGTGAGCCCATGTCAAGAATACAAGTCCGGTACCCTCGGTTGAGTCAATGCACAGGTGATGATTTTCCGCCCGGATGATTGCGGGATACCGAATACATGCGAGGGGAATAAAATCCGAAGCTTTTCCCCAGACGCGTTTCTAACTCGATGCTACAGTTTTCCGGGCTGGGGGGGCGATTGCTTCGCTCGGCTAAGGCGATGCTTATCCGAGTGGGGGGGGTCTTTTCCGACCCCACACCCTAAGTTAACCGGGGAATTCACTTGCGTGAGGTACTCCGTACTCCCCCCGCAACAGCATCTACGGAGTAATAGATAAACAGTTCATTATATGCCGAAGCCGCATTTCAGCCAAAAAGGCTTATTTTCCATCTTTTCCATTCACGGTAATCATGCTTCTCACACCAGACATGGACAGCGTGACAGAGGCCCGACAGCTGGGTGAACTCCCACCCACCCCGCCTCACGAAAAGGAGATCTTCCCCCAGACGATCAACGACGTCTTGTTGCAACTCATTCAGGATGCGCCAGACCTACCACTGGTTGGCTACCCGGGAAGCTCTCATGGGGTCAGCGACTACGTATACTACTCTGCTCGCCAGCTGGATCGCTTCGCCAACGGCGCAATCGAACAGTTGAAGAAGACTGGACTTGAACAGGTAAGAGCGATGCCCACATCAATATGGTCCCTCTTCCATTCTCATATCGCTACGCAGTTCTCCCACCCGACGGAGAACCGGGTTGTCGCGATTCTCGGCGCCTCCAACCTCGACTACATCGTGTCTCTTTTCGCATTGACCCGGCTGGGATACGCCGTCTTGCTGCTCTCGACACGACTCAGCACGGAAGCCTACGTGAATCTCCTCGCAGCCACTAAGTGCACTCAACTCCTTTACTCCGGGTCAACCGCAAAGGCTGTGAACAAGCTCGAGTCTACCGCATCCCTTGCTACCTACAAGATTCCGGAGCATGCCGCGTACTCAACGACCACCTTCAGCTCGTCTTTACAGCTGACCGACAACAGTCACCTGAGTCAGAAATGGGCGTTCATCATTCACTCTTCTGGGTCAACTGGCCTCCCCAAGCCAATCTTTCAGACTCACGGGGCGTGCATCGCCAACTACAGCACCAGCAAGGGCTACCGGGCCTTGCTTACCCTGCCGCTGTACCACAACCACGGCCTTTCGACCTTCTTCCGGTCGCTGTTTAAGCGCAAGCCTGTTGCGATCTACAACGCAAACTTGCCCTTAACAGGCAATCATGTGCTCGATACGATGCGGGTGACAACCCCAGAGAGCTTCCATGGGGTGCCGTATGTGCTCAAGTTGTTGAGTGAAGTCGAGGGCGGTGTCGCGGCACTAGCGCAGTGCCAACAGGTTCTCTTCGGGGGGAGCAGCTGCCCTGATGATCTGGGGGATCTTCTTGTCGAGCAAGGCGTGCGGCTGATCAGTCACTACGGCGCGTATGTTGCCCGCTTCAAAGATGCCTTAATGCCTGCATGCTAATCCAGACGGCAGAACTGAACTCGGCCAGCTCATGACCTCCGAACGACCCCCAGAAGACAAGGCATGGAACTACGTGCGACCTCTGCCCAAGGTGGCTCCTTTTGTGAAGATGGACCCGTTGGAGGATGGCTCGTACGAGTGTGTCGTGCTCGATGGACTACCGGCCAAAGTCAGCTCGAACTCGGACGACCCACCAAACTCCTTCCACACGCGCGATACGTTCCTGAAACACCCGTCCATCACGAATGCGTGGAAATACTTGGGCCGACTGGACGATCGCATCACGCTCGTCAACGGCGAGAAGGTGCTCCCCGTGCCCATCGAGCACCGGATCCGTCAAAATCGCGGTGTGCAGGACAATCTCGTGTACGGCGTCGGACGTCCGCTCCCGGGCCTGCTTGTCGTGCCCAGCGTCGAGTGCCAAGGGATGGCAAAGGCAGAGATCCTCGACCAGATCTGGCCGGACATCGCCGCGGCCAACGCGAATGCTGAGGCTTTCAGTCAGATCTCCCGCGACATGGTGATCATCTTGGACCCCGGCTGTTCGTATCCCGCCACCGACAAGGGGACCATGATCCGCAACCGGTGCTACATCGAATTTGATGATCTAATTGAGGAGAAGTACCACAAGCTCCAGGAAGGCGGCTCAACTGCCGCAGCGAACCGCCGCGTCTTTGAAAACGTGCAGGAGCTGGAGCAGCATCTGTTGTCTCTGTTCCGAGACGAGTTGGGATTCAGGGACATCGATCTGGACACTGACTTTTATGAAGCAGGGGTAGACAGTCTTCAGGCCATCAAGGCACGTGGTGTCATTCAAAATCAAGTGGACATCGGGTCCGCTCAGCTGGGTCATAATGTGATTTACGACTGCGCCAACGTTCGCAAGCTGGCTGCCCATCTCGACGCAGTCCGGACCGGGCAAGAGAGCAGCGTTGAAGACGAGCTGAGTGTCATGGCCCGACTGATCGATAAGTACTCGACTTTCGTGAGCAGACCCGCTGCCAAAGAGACTGTTGTAAGTTTCAGTGCCTCACTAGATCTCTTTGGGATCTCCATCAGGTACTAACCCACGCAGCTGCTTACCGGCACCACCGGCTCATTGGGCGTATACATCCTCTCACGCCTCATGGAGAACCCAGCCGTCAAGCAGATCTACTGCCTCGTTCGGGCGAGCAGCCCCTCTGACGCACTGGACCGCGTGCTCACAAGCCTGTCCACCCGATCGCTGCCAATGGTTAACGTGTCCAAAATTATCGCCCTGCCATCACAGTTCGGGCGCGAGGATCTCGGCCTGCCAGCTGAGGTATTGAACGACCTGCGCCAGTCGCTCACCAAAGTCATCCACGCTGCGTGGGCCGTCAACTTCACCCTGGGCGTGCAGAGCTTCGAGCAACAACACATCCGCGGCGTCCACAACCTGATCAACCTGTGCCTCTCCAGCACGCGCACCTCCCCGGCCGAGTTCTACTTCTGCTCCTCCATCTCCGCCGCCGCCGGGACGCCTCTGCCGGCGACCATCGCCGAAGGCCCGATCCCGGAGCTGGCGCACGCCCAGAACATGGGATACGCGCGCTCTAAGCTCGTGGCAGAGCGCATCATTCAAGCGGCGGCCGAAACGACGGGAATGATCGCCAAGGTCCTCCGCGTGGGCCAGATCGTCGGCGACACGGTGACGGGCAAGTGGAACCGCACCGAAGCCATCCCGCTAATGCTGCAGACCGCACACACCCTCAAAGCTCTGCCAGCGCTGGACGAGACCCCTTCCTGGCTGCCTGTCGACGTGGTGGCCGATGCAGTGCTCGAACTCAGCGGGATTGCCACCGCCGATTCCTCCACCTTGGCAGCAGTCTCCCGCCACGACCCAAGGGTCGTCTACCACGTGCAGAACTCGAGAACCTTCCGCTGGACGGAGGATCTGCTCCCCGCGCTACAACAAGCGGGACTGGACTTCGAGATCCTGCCCAAGCGGGAATGGGTGCAGCGTCTGCGCGAATCCGATCCAGACCCGGCCACGAATCCCACCATTAAACTTTTGGACTTCTTCACGGAGAAGTACGACAATGAGAGTCCAGGTCGGGCCGGGTTGAGTTTCCAGATGGAGAAGACGGAGGCGGCGAGTCCGTCGTTGAGGGGAGGTGTTGAGTTGATTGAGAACGGGCTGATTCGGAAGTTTGTGGATTCCTGGCGGGGGGAGTGGTGAATGTCTGTCTTGGTTGGGAATTTGTTCTGTGAGGGAGTCAAATGGGTTAGATTGTCACTGTTATTTGCAGGAGTCATGAGTTAGCTGTAGTTTGGTTCAATACCATTGTGTTCTTCATACCTCAGCCATCTCCATGCCCGAGGCAGTGAGGCACTAAGGCGCTAAGGCAGTAAGGCATTCAGACATCCAGCCAAGGGCGAAAGTCTCGGATGACAAATGCCCGCATCACCTCCACTTTTTCCAGGCACCAACATCCACCCATCCATGGCTCGAGGCGGCAAAAGTACTGAGTAACTGTACGGTCTGTACCTGATCCGAAAAATTCGTGGTGGCGAATCTGGCGAGATGCCTGCATAGCCTATTCAGTTTGATCCACCGGGACTGAGTACCCGAAGCAACCGGGTATGCCTCGGTCAACAGCAGCAGCACCACCACCACCACCACCAACGCCCAGTCTGAACCGGACCCAATCCGGTCCATCCCCCTGCTGATAACAAATGTGAGGTATCACTTTGGGGTTGTTTCAAGATGCTGACCACCCTTCCTTCCTTACCCCTGTTCCTCGGGAATCAGTGAGACTACAAATAACTTATTCTCCGAGGTTGGGTCGGGCCATGCAATCGAGTGAGTAGAAGTTAGGGCACCATTCTATGCTCTCCCGCGCGGCCGACGCAGCGCCAAGCAGCGTCGACAGCAATCAATGGCAGCCTATTGTTCGGTTTTTTCGCTTTTCCCCACTTGCACCTTGGGGCTCACTGGGCCTTCAGCCATTAGACTACGCGGCAACTGACAAGCTTCCGTCTGCTGATCCATATCCAGCATTTTCTCTGGCGACACTCGAAGGTGATGTTGAACAACCCTGACTCTTGAGGGACTCTGGGGAACCACCCCGATCGAAATAAATTAAACCTCCTCCGATCTGATCTCATTGATGAATTCCTGCAAATGCACGGATGACAGAGACTCTGTCGGTGTGTCAGGGGGAAGAAGGATTCACCAACCAGTGCCACGTTCGACAGACTTCTGTTGGGCCCACTTGGTGCCTGGCAGGCCACGCCATCCACTTGAGCCAATCTGGTTAAGCAATCAGGCCAGACCAGACGAGACCAGTCAATAGGAGAATCAAGTCCATGAATGGGGCCTGCAGTCCCAAACATGTTCGTCTGCCCCCCCTCCTCCTCCTGGAGGGGGGCGCTACATTGGGCCCGCGCGCCTTACAGCCCAGGTTTCCCACTGCCGAATCTTCACGGCCTGTCATACTTCTTTTATAAGACCTGCTGGCTCTGCTGCGCCTTCCTTTTCCTTCTTTCCTTCCTTCTCTTTCTCTCCTTTCGTCCAGTTTTCTGCTCCCCCTACACTTTGTTGTTCGTTCCTCATTTCCCCTCTCTCCTTCGGGATTGTCACTCTTTTTTCTCTGGCTGCTATCAGTCAGAAGTCATTCCTTGAAACCTCCAGACGCAGCTAACCAGCCACAATTCGATCGTACCGTTCGATCGTCCTTCCTTTATTTTCTCAACTCACGTCAGTTTAAAAATCGTCTGAGTCGATATTGACGTCCTGTCTCTACTTCATCCAACCATGTTGTTCTCCAACTACATCCGCGCCGCCGCCCTCTTCGCGGCCATGGCCTCGGCCATCCCCATCGCCATGCCCCCGACGACCACCGAGGTGCAGGTCGAGACGGAGACCCAGGTGGTGACCGAAGTCCTTGTGGCTGGTTCCCACGGACACGACTCGCACACCACCACCGTCAAGCCCACCACCACGGCGCATCACACCTCGACCTTCCCCTCCACCCACGCCTCGGCCACTCCCTCCGCCTCCGCCGTCGCCTCCTCGACCACCAGCAGCAGCAGCAGCAGCGCGACAGGCGGCCGTGTCGAGATTGTCAACAACCTGAATCACACCATCTACGCCTGGTCCGTCTCCAACACGCAGGGCGAGATGCAGACCCTCGTTCCCGCCGGCGGCACCTTCACCGAGAGCTGGCGCACCAACCCGGACGGCGGTGGTATCTCCATCAAGCTGTCCTCGACCACGGAAGTGAGCAAGGTGCTGCAGTTCGAGTACACCGCCGAGAGCGAGACCGTCTGGTGGGACCTGTCATGTATCAACATGGAGAAGAACTCGTGGTTCACCGAATACGGCTTCTCCGCCGTCCCCAGCGTTGAGTCGTGCCCGTCGGCCAAGTGCGCCGCCGGCGATAGCGACTGCTCCGAGGCGTACCAGAACCCCGACGATGTCGATACCCTCAGCTGTTCGTCGGACAGTGTGATCAAGCTGGTTCTGGGCTGACCGCTGCCCGAGGACGAACAGTTCCATTGAGACTCGCCTGTCTCATTTCTTCTCTTTCTTCACGCAATGACATATGCCACTCGACGTTTTATTCTTTTCTTTTCTTTTCCGTTGACTCTTGCAGGAACGGTCCTTCGAACCTGCGAGTGTCTTCCTTTCAGTGCTTTAGTTTTATACCTTTCAATCAATTCGTATATATACGTGTGTTCTTATCTACCTTTATCGTTGCCTCCTTGGGCTTCCATTCAACGATGACGTGACGCTGGGCGCATGATCATCGCATTTGTACTTTATTTCATTATAGTCGCCAATTTGCGTCGGTCGCACGGCCTCCGTGGGTCATTTGTCAGGTCGCATTAGTTTAGATGTACTTGTTAAAACCGTCTCGATCTATGCCTCCACTGGGAGCTGTGACTGTTGAGTATCGGCGACAAGAGACGTGGGATCGCTGACTTTCGAAACCCGAGAGCCACCAGGTCCGTAATTCCGCTGTTCGAATCGAACCCCTTTGTCCAAACAAGCTGATTCGGTCTGGTTGAAGTCGAAGGCTTCGTAAGATCTCCTGGTTGAGACCTCAATCTGTTTGAGGCATCCTGCCCTTCATCGACGAACCGGCCCAGCACGCTATCAAAGTCCAATTCTTCTTCATCCGCACGGAAACAGTCCATGATCGTCAAGGTTTCCAGGTTAGGAGGAAATGCTGCGGTCGTCCACGTCCCGGTGTCTTCATGCCAGCAAGGAGTTTCGCAATGGAGACAATCCTCGCTAAATGCAAGCTCTTTTTGGCCTGGAAATTCTCCCAGAGGGGCACATGGATGGTACGCCTCCGGTTTCTCAGACGAAAGCCAATCGGTCCACTCCGGAAAACCCGTCTCAATCACCAGGCTTTCCAGCGTGTCCCGGTGGTGGAGGAGACCATTCCAGAGGCCATCGACGAAATCCTCGTGTGGCATACGGATCTGGCTGAAGTAAAACTCAACGGCTTTAGTATTCTCGGCTGCTGCAGGATAGTTGCAATGTCCCATCTTGTCACCGTGGTTTCTGGCCACATGCCTATCGTAATGCTCAGTTCCCGTATGGGAGACTGACCCTTCCCGTTACACAAAAGGCGACCGGCCATAAAAGCCCCGATGCCATCAATAGTCAGATCTTCTAGCGCTGGAAGATAGAAGACGTGCCCGACGTCCTTCACCCAGAAGAGGGCTACTGAAGGATAAAAGTCACCTCGATGGCTGACAAGTCGAAGCTTGCGGAGATGCTGGAAGGCTTTGAAGGACTTTGATTCCGGGGACTCACTGCCGCGTGCAGCAGATAGCTAAGGTACGCGAAGTCCTCTTGTAAGTCCAACGAGGCTTCTTGAACATTCCGCGTTCGGGTGAGGATGAGCGGTATCAGCAGTCGTGCATCGTAACACTGAGTCACCCTGTTCCTGCGAAAGTTCCAGCAATCTAGGCCAGCTTCCTCAGCTAAGCTGTTGAAGTGGTCTTTGTGGCGTTCGACGTCGTACCGGTGTATCAGATGTTTGCCAACCGAATTCAGCGACAGTTCCCTCACCTGATCCCCTCAGTCCTTGTCAGCGACACCATACAGAAACCAGGCCAGATTAACCGGTTTCCGTGAGGATTCTCCGTAGGAGTACTAAAAGTACAATTGACGATTTGCGCTACCCGCCATGGATAACTGACTCGGCAGCAGTTGCTCAATTCCGCCCCCGTACATGTAGATGCGATGAAAGATTTCAGGAGGGAGGCCGGATCACGCGTTTTGAGATGCTTGACAAGGCGCTCGTGAGGTGATTGTATCGTACTGGGGGAGTCGGATACATCCGACTCTGAGTCGATGTTGGCGGGCATGGCGCACTCTCGAGAGGAAAGTTGACGGTAAAACCGATAAGAGTGATAGGTGTTTGGGTCACGTGGTCATTGCTTCTTCGAGAGTACTTACTCTATGGACCACACGGCAAAGGCAGCTTGCGGTGCAGCCTGGCCACGATCTCCGCATAGTCGGGCTCCTGTTCAGCAGTGAGTAGTCCATGACGAATCAGAAAGTCCAACATCACGGCACCACTGCTAGGTTTAAACCGTCCCTCCAGCAGCGCCTGTTTCACCGACTCCACCCCCATGCAATGGAATTGCCAGATATCCTGATCCACCGGTCGCAAAACCTCCTCCGCCCCCATCTCCATATCATACACGAAGAGCACCCCAGGATTCATCAGTCCTACCGGTCCCGAGGCCCGTGCATCACTAACATTCAGCCAGGTCACGGTCCCCGCCGCGCGAGCGTCGGATCGCACCCGATCTGCCGTCATGCCCGCTTCTTCCTCAGCCTCACGAACCAGACACTGCCACGGCGTCTCTCCGATAGCCATCCCGCCCGCAACCGCGTTATCCAGGAGCCCCGGGTACGTTTTCTTGTTGGGGTTGCGCTGCGGAATCCAGAACTGGTACCCTGCGGCCGTGCGCGTGTAGACCGTCATGTGCACCCCCTGCCCAATGATTCCCCACAGGGAGAACTCGCTGCGATCAATAGCGACCGGGAACCGAGCCCCCACGATGGGAAACATCTCCCCGCGGGTCCGACCGAGCTCGGGGAAGACCCCGAGTTCGCGGGCGCGGTTCATCTGGTGCGCCAGGATCTGGGTGCACTGGGCTTGCCAGTCCGGCCCCGTAGGACGGCGCAGGCGGACTTGCTTCGCTGGATCGGTTACGAGGTCGAAGTCGGACGTCCAGGGCATGGCGTGGACGATGTCGTCGGTCAGGAGTCCGTGGGGTCGATCATCGTCGGGGAGGTAGAACTTCCATAGTGTGCTTGTGCGGTTATCGTAGACGGTGTCTTCCGGGTAGGGAAAGCTAGTATGGATGTGAGTAGGTCGTAGTAGATGCAAGGATACGACTAAGGGCTCACTTATCGCAGTCTTGGACGACTTGAAGGAAGTTGTCCATCGGCCTAGACATTGTGTTGTGCTGTGTTGCGTGTTGTAAGGAGGAGGAGGAGACGCGAACTTTCAAGTTGGAAGGGAGGAGGGGGGGAAAACACTCGGCCCGATAAGATAAGCGGGGAAATTCCTTTTCCACTCCGGCCATCAACTGGGCCAGCAGCTGTTGAGAACTGTTACTGTATGATGTTGGACAGGATTAGCTTTTGTCATTCTGTGTATAGATTACATATCTATAGAGTTCTGAAGTGCGACTCAGCCCAAGAAATGGGGGATTAACTCAAATCATAAGTCAGATTCTATGGACGGTCTGGATGTATATATTGGCAATTGTTCTCCGTACTTTGTATCGTGTTTCGACAGACGATCCGCATGACATGAATCTGATAGACCAAGTCAAACCACCTCTCATGAGACAAGGAGCTAGTTAGAGCTTTGTAAGAGAGAGGAACCAGATTAGCACAGAATTCAGAATCTAAATAATGCAGGTCAAGACCAATAGAATGGACGATGTTGTTCATCAGAGGAGATTCATGGAGCAAATGGCACTAGCCCTCAAACTGGTTAGCGATTACTTACTCATCACAGACTAACCCTATCAAGCAAGCCGAGCTGTAGCTCAGTCTAGGCCGAATCCGGTTAGAGCCCCATGCAGGCACTCCTTCCTTTGCTGCTGACAGTGTAGAAGGATTCAAATGAGTGCCAGTATACCTACTCACCACTCCTCAACACCAGGCTTGCTTGCTTGAAGCGATATTGATTCGCTTTTGAAAGCGCTCGTCTTAATGAACATCTTCAGGTCAATACTTTGAGCTCAAGATGCTGTTCGACAGCGGCTGCGGAACTCAACCGAGGAGTGGGTCTCCCACAACCCCTTTTTGTAATCCGTTTGAGTAGGCACATTTCACTCCAAACACCTTATCCAAGACAGTATGGCCGAGTGGTCTAAGGCGATAGACTAGAAATCTATTCTCTTCGGAGGCGTCGGTTCAAATCCGACTGCTGTCGTCTTTTTGCTCAGGGGCTCTCTGCTCCTGGTTCTTTTTTCAAGATCGAATCAGTGGCGACAATGATCACGAATACTAAGGTGCCGAATGCTACCTGGTGTGGCATGCGGATATGCACGAGATTGTTGGCACATCGGATACTCCTGCTCTCAGCACTACGTGTTCTCAGCTATCAAAGAATTAGCTCGCTCCGAATGAGATCTCCAGCATACGGACATGGGTTTATAGGGCCCGTGACAGAGGAGATGGGTCCATCTGTTGCCACCCAGCCGAAACTTGAATTGAGGTGCCAACATAGGCGTATTCAACCTAGCACCATTTCGTACAATCAATATCTTGCAACAATGCTATCAAACTGGATATATCTATAGATCCCTTTACTCCTGCTTGGACATCTCGAGCAGTGCTGCGGAGCTTTTGACTTCGTTGTGTGAAAAGCAGATTCCCATGAATTTGACCATCTCCGCAGCTATCGATATCATGAGCAAAGCGTCTTGTGCCCTGGACTGGACTGGATCTTACCGGACATTCTCCGGGCCGTGGTGTCGTTTTCATCCACGCCATTCATGCGAGTATAATCCAGGACAAGCTCGACACGGGACCGCCGGGCTTCCTCGTACAATGCCAGACGGGCAGGGATGTCTTCCGTGCGAGTACCAGCTGGTAGTAAGACCGCGAGGGAAACGGCATCCTCGATGGCCATAGCGCCACCCTGGCCCATATCTGCTTGGCTTTTAGCGTACTGTGCTCGACCGGGGAGAATCTCTGTCACGCACAAGGCTGGAAGGGATGGGCCGCATCTCCGAGTAGAGCTGACCGACCTCTCACCCATGTCGGAAGGGGTTTCATGTCGAAGAGCTCCCAGACTTTGAGGTTGTCGTCGGCCCTGCCCACGAGTTCCTTGACTGCGGGCCCGAAGTTAGAGAACCCGGACGCGAGTGCATCTTTGCTTCCGACCGCTTGCCAGCCTATTTACCAGGTTAGGATGTTGGATTTGAATCGAGAGTGGTGCTTACCTTCGCCAAGCCCGCCCGCCTCGGCCGTTGGGAGGAACGCGCAGAGATTGAACACGTTGTTGTTGGAGCAGGGATATGCCACCAAGCGTCGATCGTCCCTTGCCCATTCGATGAAGACACCAGGCTCCTGGACAATATCTTTGGTCGCGGCCAATTGGCGCAAGTCATCGGTGGACAGAAGCCAGCGGAAGCAGGACTTGCCCGCCGGGAAGGGAGCAGGTGGTTGTTGTCCTATCTCGTGGCGGACGATGGACTATCGCGTGGGTTAAGGTGTCTTCATCTCATGTTCCCACTTCACTCGGGATACGTACGTGAAGACCATCAGCCCCAAGCAGCAGATCGCCCTCGAGCTTTTCTCCATTGTCTAGGGTGACCGAAGGGCGCTCACTCTCCACGTCAATCCCGACAATCCTACAGCCCATGTGCAGAGTGGCTGTCTGCAAGGCTCGCTGCTTGAGATAATTGTGGAGGTCGACTCGGTGCACGAGGTACCATTCCTGACGATTTAGCACCTAATTCTCGAGTGCTAATGGTGCTCAACTCACTGCTTGCCACATGTGTCGAATGCCATCGAAGTCCTTCTTATACTTCAGATCGCCCAGGTGATCATACCGATGAATCTAGCCGACGAGTGAGCATCTATCCCATTCTGCCACACCAGCGGAAGGCCAAGTGCATACCTGTTCCAAGAGTGTGCCTCCAAAATCCCTGGGGTCGATGTCCAGCCAATTCAGCAAGGCAGTGCAGTTGGGTGGCACATGGATCGCAGCGCCAGCCTCGCGTGAGAACTTGGACTTTTCCACAATCTGGGACGCTCAGCACACACACCTCATGGGGTTTCGGCTATGTCATCAAAGTATACACACCACCACATGATGCCCTTGTTTGCCCAGCGCAATGGCGGCAGTCAGGCCCGCAATCCCAGCCCCGACGATCAACACCTGCAACGGTCGGGGTTCTTGGCTCGCGACGGTCATTGTGATTTTCTATGCTGCCTCACTCATCTGCTGTCGACTTCCGAGGACATTTTAACCATGCATCGGTGAAGCGACCATTCCTCTCTCGGTGACTGGGTCTCGGGGAATTCCCTCGGAGATAAGACGGGATCCGACGGATCAGAGTGGGCTCATCCAAGTAGTCTACTGAGTAGCAGTCTATCCGCAAAGGTCGATAGAATATGTCGATCACTGCCCGGTGTTTCATTGTAAGTCTGTAAGCTCAATGGGATTGTGATCTGGAATTAAGGTGGAGAATGCGCCGGGGGCTGGACGGGGCGATTCGACTTGCAAGATGCTCTCCGTCAGGACCCTTTTTTACCTATCGACTACACTGGTGAGAAAGGCGTACAAAATCCCTCCATATGTCATCCCACTCTAATCCTGTATAGTGCATGCATACTGGCAGAGTCTACTATTGCATTTGTATCTGGCTCTTGTACTGGTTGCTCCCTTCCGGCCCGGGCCGCTCGGAAGGTATGGATGGGGACGACGCAAAAGGGGAAGGTTATTTCTTCTTCAAAGCCCT